CTGTTTTTCCAAAGTAATTATCGATATTTTTATGAAAAAGAAAAAAAAGCTTTCGGGCTGAAGAACTCCCCCCCCCCTCAAAATTAAATCCTGGATCCGCTAGTGGGTTGAATGGTGAGTGAGGATTCAACCCAAAACAATAACTATGTCTTCCTAACAGAGCAGTTAATTCTAGGAAAGCAGCATTTTATTATCCAATACTTTAGGCACAAGTTCTATTCCAAGAATAGATCTCACTTGCACTAGCGGATCCAGGATTTAATTTTTTTTTGGGGGGGGGGGCTTCAGCCCGAAACCTTTTTTTTTCATAAAAATAACGATAATTACATTTGAAAAACAGAAAGAAACTGTATATGAAATGGTGTTTAAGTTATTCCTTAAGTACTTTTAAATGTAATTACACGAACAATAATACTTTAAGAGGCATTTTTAAAAATTTTTTTCCCATAAAACATGGTTATATTTTTCCATTTTGGGGGGGGGGGAGGCGGTGCTTCAGCCTGAAAGCCCCCCCCCCCGTAGATCCGCCCGAGCTCACTTGTGTTTACTTCTTCCTTTGATAATGAATACGATTTTTGCTTCAACCCGAATTATCTGCCTTCGTCATATTTTTTTTATTTTGAATAATGAATTTAATTTTAACAATATAGTAAAATTAAAAGTAATAGTAAGAAAATAGTAAAATAAATATGAACACACTCACTTATACATTTGTATTAATAAATCGTCTAATTTAGCACAAAAGTGCAATTTAATGCAACAAAAATGAAAATCGTACAATCTAAGCCAAAAACGGCAAAACGTGCAATTTCGTGCAATATAAGATTTAAATATGTTATTCTACAGGTCCTGAAACCACAGGCGGATCTACGGGGGGGGGGCTTTTGGGCTGAAGCCCTCCTCCCCCCGAAGTGGTAAAATATAACCATGTTTTACAGAAAAAAATATTAAAAACTCTTGTTCGTGTAATTATATTTAATAGGACTTAAACACCATTTCATATAGGTAATTAATTTCTTTATTTTTTTCAAATTAATTATAAATAATTATAAAATAAAAGGCTTAGCGAACCCGAAGGTCGATGTCGACACCACCAATTGCTTATTACACACCTCCCTCCACCGTTCGCCGCCCAAACCCTGTCCCTTCAGATCGGCTTTAATGCTATCTTCCCACCTTCGCTTCGGTCTACCCTTCGGACGCTTACCATTCGGCACAGCAAATATTAACCTTTTAGGAATTCTCTCGTTACTAAGCCCAACAACTTTACAAGCCCATTTGATTCGCCGCGATGAAATTACCTCAATTATATTACCCGGATACAGTTCACGCAATTCGGCGTTGTGTAACTGTCTGAACTCTCCGGTTAACTCATCCTTCTTCGGTCTGAATATTCTACGCAATACTTTATTTTCAAAAGCCTTAAGACGCTGCTCATCCTTTAATGTAAGCGGCCAAGTTTCGCATCCATAAAGAACTGTAGCCAAGATAATTGTTTTATAGATTCTAAGTTCCGGGACAAGAGGCGCGAACTAAGTAGTTTTGTCACAGAAAAATAACAAGGAGAATTTTATCGTTATATGTATATGAAAAAAAAAATCTTTCGGGCTGAAGCCCCCCCCCCCAAAAAAATTAAATCCTGGATCCGCTAGTGCCTGAAACGAGTAAATATTCGGGTCCGGAGTTTTTACTCGCAAGCGAATAAAAAATGCAATGACATGGAAATCCGGTATCAAATAATGATACTAGAAATTGAGTAATACTGTATCTATTAACTATTATTTTTTATTTCAGGTTGTGGACATAGACCCGTTTTGGTCCCCAAGTACGGAAGAGGAAATAGCTCATTTCGGGGAGAAGTCCGACACAGGTAACAGGGCTAGGGAGTACATGAACTCCGTGAGGAGGAGAAAGGGTCTTCCGGTCGCTGAGAAGATCGTCCAGTTCGCCGAAAAGCAGCGCACCTTGTCCAAAAATAAATGATTCATTTACGGCTATATTTTTACATTACATTTTATTATTTAATATCAATTATGTACTAATTTTAATAATTAGGCATTATTTTCTTATTGTATGGTTATATTAGATTAAATTTTCTTGTTTCTGTATTTTTTTTTTTTATTGACTATTTATTTCATTATAATTTAAAGTAAGTAGGATAGAAGAAAATTGTGAGAGAGCGTGTCTTCTTTCCAAGAAATTTTATTACATTTCTTTTCTTAAAAACAATGCAAATCTCTCCCTGAGAGGTTGATGGCGCCAGAACTTCCTCTCTCAGTCCAAAATATTTTATTTCCCTCTTCAAAACAGTGCTTTCGCGTAGAACTTAAAAAATCATATGAGCCTCCCAGTTGAGAGAATGACTAACTCTAATTTCAACATTTTTGATAAGTCATTTTAGTGATATTTATAGTTGAAAAATTTATAATATTTGTACTGACAGTGAGTCCGTTGTTTCCAGAGTAGGTGATTGCAGTGTTAATATATATAACTCTGAATAAAGGTATAAATTATCCCACTAGAAATATCACTAAAACGATTTTACTAAAAAATGTTGAAATTAGAATTAGTCATTGTGTCAACTGAAAGGCTTATATACAAGTGTATACAAGTTTTCACTTTGCCCCCCTTATAAGTTCAGAACTCTGTCAAAATGTGCCCCCTCAGAAATTTTGATGGTGCAGATTGTGCCAAGGAATCCCTCTTCATTGAAAGTAAAATTATGAAAATACTAATGTATATACATTAGCATTTGCTGTTCCAATTTTTTTCCCTTGTTCCTTGAGTTATACCAAATTGAAAATCCGTAAAAATATGGCTCTCTCCAAAAATTCCAAACCCTTTAAAAATTTTCCTTGCACTAGAAAAGTCTCATGACTCAACTTCGGCAATGCCATACTCTTCAGTGCACCTCTAGCAGGACCTGATAAAAAATTGGCTAAAAATACAGCTACAATATTTTAAGTGAAACAGGAAAAAAAGAAAGAAAAGAAACACTTCATTCTGGGACCACGTAAGTACCTTTGAACTGCTTAGCTGTGAAAAATCAGAGTTTAGTTTATATATAATTTTTTGGGGGGGCACATGAGGCCAACTATCACCTCTTTTATATATACCGAGTGTCCTGTAAGTAAAGAGAAATATTAAAAGAGGTGGTAGTTGACCTAATGTGCCCCAAAAAAAAAATGATCTATAAACTAAACTAATAAATAGGCTACTAAATAGGATACTATTTATTAGTTTATAGATAATTTTTTTTTTTTTGGGGCACATTAGGTCAACTACCACTATATATATATTAGTATATACAGGGATATTTACAGGAGTGATAGTAGACATCAAGAGCTACAATAAAGTTTATATAAACAATGGGTCAATTTTCAGCAGAAAAGTAGGAAATCCAAATTTGTATTTTTTTGAGTGTCATGTTTTTTGTTAAAAAGGAAGTGATAACTAATGAATTATTTTAATTTAAGTAATTAAAAATTGCTTTGCTGTAAACTATACAAAATTTACTTCAAATTAAAGTGAAGTTTATCATTTAAAGGAGACTTTTGAGTGACTAAACTAAGATAAGCTCTGTTTTAAAAAAAAGCATAAATTATTCATGATTTTTTTTTTTTATCATCCCACAACTATACTATAGATACCCCACTTTTAGAAAAACCTTCTCATTTAATAAGCTTTAAATCCATAATAAAGCCTAATAAACATCAACTTAATTAATAAAAATTAATTAAGTCGAGGTTTATTAGGCTTGAACTTGAGATTCACCTCAAGATGTGTATAAAAAGGATGTGATTTTTTATTGCCACCTAAAAATACCCGTGTTCTCAGCAAAAATGTTTAAGTTAACTGTTGAAAAGCTTTTATTTATTGTTTCCATAATCTAGAGTGTAATATAATAAACAAAATTGCCTAAATACACTTTTGATAATTATAAAAAAAAATGTTAAAAATAACTTTTTAAAATATTTTTCATGTAAAGTGGTTATGAACATGTGTTTTTCTTCCATATCTCTGTCATAAGAATATATTTGTATCCCTAAGTGATAAACTTAATTTATATGATCCTAGTATTTATGCTTTTATGAAAATAATTGAAACAATCAGCAGGTTTCTTTATTAGAAATGTAAATATTAGGATCAAAAACATTGAGTTTGTCACATAAATATGGATCAATTCTTATAATAGAGATCTCGGAGAAAGTTCATACCACTTTTTACCACAGTTTCATAACCACTTTACATGACAAATCTTTGAAAATCATCATTTTTAACATTTTTTTTTATAATTATAAAAAGTGTATGAAGGTAACTTTGTTAATATTATATATTCCAGATAATGTGAAAACAAGAAATAAAAGCTTTGAAAAAGTTAATTATAGGCATTTTTGCTGAAAATGCTGGTATCTACAGGTGACAGAATAAAAAAATCACATAATTTTTTTTTACAAAATCTGAGGTAAATCTCAATTTTATGCCTGATAAACCTCAACTTAATTAACATGTATTTAAAGCTTACAAAATGAGAAAGTCTTTTTAAAAGTGAGGTATCTGTAGTATAGTTAGGGGCTGATAAAAAAAATTACGAATAATTTATGATTTTTTTAAAAACAGAACTTATCTTAGTTTAATCGCTCAAGAGTCCCCTTTAAATGGTTTTTACCATGATAAAGTATGCTTTTATTTGAATTAAATTTTGTCTAGTTTACAGTGAAGTAATTTTTAATTACTTTAATTGAATATTTAATTAGTTATCGTTTCCTATCTAACAAAAAAAAGACACCTAAAAAAAAACAACACATAACTTAGATTTCCTACTGGTCTGTTGAAAATTGGCCCATTATTTAAATGAGCTTTTTTGTAGCTCTTAAGATGTGCTATAAATGTTTCGCTCTACTTATGGGACACCTTGTATATTCCTCCCTAACATTAATTATTGTCATTCTTACTATTATTCTAATTCTTAATTTAAAAAGACATAATAATTGTAAAACAATTTATTACAATAACTTTAATAAAATGTTCGATAGTTGATGTGTTGATGCCTAGGTTTCGGAGGTGGTTCTATGTAAGCTACAAATGTGGAACCTCCATTTTCTAACCTGCCATGATTTAAAGTTATCTGGCTGGCAGCTCTTTTTTATTTTATTTTCATTGTGTCTCTTTGGATCTCCCAGAATTACTGACTCAGCTCTTGTAACTTTGATATCACATGAAATAATAAAACATTATAATATTTACGTAATAACAAATCATTAATTAGTTAATAATTATAGATTAGTAATTAGAACAATACACTAATTTTTAAGTGTAAGCATCAATCCATACTCTGACTTGGTTTAAGATCATCCGTTTTGCGAGATACCCGATGTTTAAAAATTACAGTTCTTCTGTCCATATCAGCCTTTTAAAAATTTATTATAAAAAATAAATAAATAAGGATTTGAATTTACCTCCTTATCATTAGCTTGGAAAGCCCCTTTTATTCTAATTTAGGGAAGGCCAAGAAGAAGCTAAACATTTGAATTAGTACACGAAGCATGATCCATTTTTAGAACAATTGGAATATTTTTTGTTTACTGTGTGAATGTTTTATGTTGATTTTTTTTTTTAAATATATTTTCATCCACGAGTGTGTGCAGTTTGGCCACTATCTTAGTTATAATTTTTCATAACTTTTACTAAGGGAGTTTCCTTCTTTTTTTTTTTTCCCTAAACCCTTAATTTGAATTATGTACTATGCATTATATTACGTAGGAGTTTTAGCTTTTTTCTGAAATAAGGTTTCGTTTTAAAGCTATTTTAAGGTTGTGTCTACAAGTAGTCTTAAGTTGCAAGTAGTTTAAGGTTTTGGGGCATATCTATATTATGCTATTTACAATATATAATTGTGAACGTCTATGTTACTTTCTCGTGGTGTATTCTTCCATCGCATTAGCAGAGGTGTCGGTGTCAAAGTTAGAAATAATGAGTGGGGAGGTATTTAAGTGATTATAAGAATTAATAGTACCTTATTAATAATAAAATAGAATATAACTTATAATTTAAAATTCTACTTACTGTGGGAATGAATCAATTTTGTACTGATTTTTATTTATTCCAAAATGAATATCCCAATGAAATGAGGAACTGATGCTGTCCCTCTCGCATTCCTAAAAAACAATAATACAATTTTTTTTATTATATTTTTGAGTGTAATTGTAAAATTAAGGGGATGATACCTAATCTTAATTCTCAGTATAGATTGTTTTATTAGGTTCACTGACTCAAGTAATTGTTACCGTCTGATCTAACTGCTTTACAGTTTTTGTTATTTAACCATTATCCTGAAGAGAACCACATGCTTTGGTCAAAAAGTCAGCAAGCCTAATAAAATATATCTTGACTCCAAACCATGACTACTTATTCTCAAAAAATAAATAAATATATAAACTCATTTTTAGTAGTTGTTGAAGTAAATTAGCTATTGTAAAATACTGCTATGAAATAATTTATTATATAATTATTAATGATACTTACATCACAAGCACAGTCCAAATCAGTACTATATTTGCTAATATTTTTACTTAACGGCATTGTCATTTTTCCATTGTTTGGTTGTTTGAATTTTAATTGCGTTTTATTCATTTCTTGCTTCATCTTAGAATGCTTTGCATATTCATTTATCTGTAAGCATTAATGAAAATATTTAGTCTTTTCTAACCAAGTATTATACTCACTAGTATGTTTTTTTATCAAGTTGAATATTTTCACTTAAAATAGTTTTATATTTTTATTAATATCTAGTTGCATGCTGATAATACAAAGTGGCAACTAAGGTGTCATATTGCATCCCTCTCCACTTAAATATAATTAATACAGTACATAGAATACCGTATCAACTGGAATGCTGGAGATAAGCCAAGCAAGCACCCCACTTACAGATACTGCCATATCTATCTATATCATTAGCCAAATATCCCCTGTTTCATCAAGCTTGAAAAAGGTTTAGAAGAGCAGGATATTTAGCCAGAAGGCTTAATAATTTACTTCCCAAGTGGATTCAATTGAGTCCCTTTTTAGTTGTCGCAAAGTTGAAAGGCCGAAGCTGTAGTGGGAAAATTGTGTAGCACACGTAGCAAGAAAATATTTGAATATCCGAAACTGGATGTCAGTGACACAGAATAGAGATGTATGGCAGTTGCTGTTGGAAGAAGCAATGATTTCTTACGGGTTGTAGTTCTATCAAAGAAGACGGTAAAAGTCTGGCCTCTTGGATGCCATGTTTCCTGCTTTAGTTGTTCACTGCTGTTTGACTTACTACTTCCTGACGACAAAGAGGACTTCTCCTCATTGTTAACTTGGACGTTTTTTTTCAAGAAGTGTCCTTGATATAGGAGACACAAGGACAAATATGGTGTTTTTCATCAAGTATTAGCTTGATGTAACTTATTTATTTTAATTAAATCTTTGAATTTTCCAATTAATTAATAATTTCAAGGAAATAACTTATTAAACCCTTTTATCCAGTTTCAATGCTTCAATTCATTTTATTTATCATAACAACGTTTCAGGCCAACTTTGCCTATTTTCAAGTCGAACTTTTTATCTACTGGTTATTTATTTTATTTTATTATCTTTATATATTATTTCTCAAAGGTGTTTCTTTTTTCTTTTGTCGCTACACCATGTCTTTGTCAATTCTTGATCAAATCCAATGATTTAGGCCTTATTTTGAAGATCTCCTTCAGATCGGAAAAATAGCCACATCTCCCAAAAATTTCAGGAAAAAAGCTTTACTTACAAATAACTCAAAGAGATTACATTTTTTGTGGATTGCACTCAGAATTATTTGAAATATTACTAAATTCACTCCAAAAAGAAAAAGAACATTTCTTTTTATATTGTCAATTATTCACAGACAAATATACTTAGCAAATTATTCGCTGAAATAACTCTTATAACTTATAAATTACATTTTATAAGTTACAATTACAACTTATAAATATTACAACTGTTATAATTTATAAAATCAATCAGATAAATAATTTTATCATTTCAGATCTATAAAAAATAACCTTTTGTTATTTTGTGGACATTAAAAAAAATCATAACTCGGTGCATTAAATAAAGATGTTAGTAATAACTAGTTGCATACTTGAGGGCTACAGATACCAGCTGATTTTATTTAAATACTAAAAAGATTAATTATAAAAATTTACCTTCTTTAAGAAAATTGTGTTTTGTTCAGAGTTGAGATTGTACCAATTCGATGCATCTTCCATTTTTTTTTTCTCATGAAGTAATGAAGGTAAATTTGAATGCAAGCTCAACACTTCCCGAATCTAGAATATTCAGAAGATTGTCATTATTATTTATTTAATCAAATTTACAACTGTATAAAAAAAAAAAAAAAAAAATACATCCAGTAAAAATGCACACATTAGAAATAATGACATGAACAGACTTGAAGAGATACTGCCCAGTGGTAGCACTCCCGGTTTAATTCCAGGTAAGAAGATCACGAGGCCATCTTCTTTTCAGACGCCTAGGGGAGGATTATCAGGAGTTGAGGAAGAAGTGAGACTGGAAACAAGTGGATTCTGATGGGACTGGAGTTTATCATGAAAGGACAGGTATCTGTCTAGGGCTAAATCAAGGGATTCATAATATGAAAATTATTATCCAAATATTTTTTCATTACAATATTGATCACTATCTTTTTTTTTTTAACTTCATACATCCACACCTGTCCAACACAATATTGACAATCACCGGATTGTCTGTCAAAATCAGTAATAAAATAATAATAGCATGTCAGGCATGAGAAAGAAAATTACTCAGCGGTATCTCTTCTATGGCATGATTTTTATAAATAAATAAATTTAAATGTCTCTCCTCCATGACATTTTCAGCCTCACTGGTAGTGGCCATTTTTACGATTAATACTGATACATGAGTAGCTAACCAAATAAAAGTACATCAAAACAGTCTTTAAAATGGAAATGAAGAATCAACTATTATTTGAAAATAATTTAAGGATAATATGCCAATGCATAATTTTACTGTTAACGGCAAGGAAAGAATAATAGTTGAAGGTTTTCAGAAATAAAATATTACATAGAACATTTGACAGTTGTACAGGTGAGTATCTGATGACAGACAATTTTAGGAAGTGTATTCTGTTGGTTTTTATAAAGTTCAGTAAAAACTGGTAAGCTATAAAGATAATCGCTATATCTATCTGTATCTATACTTTTGAATATCATTATTCTTAACTATATTTTATTCATATATAGGAATAGGAATAGGCTAATAAACTGAAGATTATAATACACATTTTAAAATATATTTTTTGTACTCTGTAATTAATTAATATTCTAGTAAATATTATTTTAAATAGTCTGATTTTTTTCATAACATTTTTTTTAAATATTTGAATTCTCCTTATTATTTATGAGCACATACAACCATAAACAATTTTTAAAATTAACAATCCGTACATATATTATTACAGTAAGGCTCGAAATCGGTTTTGTACCAAATATAAGCCCCTGTCATGCTCAAATACCATGAATGGGGTACCGTTGGATTCAGAATTTCACGGGGGGTGAGCGATTCGTATTCTCCACTTTTGTTTTTCTTTCTAAAATACAAACATTTTGTTAGGCTTCAATACCTGAACAGTGGTAGGTCTGTAGATCGATATGGGACAAATTGGATCTAGAAGATTTTGATGCGTACAGCAAGACCCGGATAGTTCCTCCGGAACTATCAGATCCTGCGTTTTTAAGCCCAAAAATGTACTATTTTCGAGATAACACAAGGCATAGGGTTCGTGTCCACACAACCTTACATTAATTGTAGTACTGTCATTGAATACATGTCTCATTTCGTCGACTTGAGATCTCTATGATCGAGAGAGGAGTTTATATTATTTATCGATGGTGTTTTTGATCGGCAAGCCATATATCATCGTCAGTTTTTCACCAAATCTTAAGATTGAGCCACCAATTTCGAAGGCTTCCTTCTCCTTCAGGCGGACAAAATAGTCCAATCATCCCGAATTTCAGGCAAAAAAGTTATAAAAGAAAACAAACTTTATTTGCGAATAACTAAAAGATTAAACACTTTTCCCTTGGTTATGCCCGTGATTTTATAAAAGATTAATTAATTCCCTCCAAAGGAAAAAAAAAAAAATCATCGAAATCAGACAATTTTTAGCAAAAATACAGCTTACTGAAATTTGTATACATGTTGGTTCCAAACAAAAGTGAAGATTTAAATTAATTTTAGTTTTCTTTGTTGATTATATTTATCGATAAAGTAACGTTTGATTTCTTTATCTTTTGATAGGTTGCATTATTTTATTTTCTTATTAATCTGCCATTTGATAACAATATGCTGTGCGAATTTTTCGTACGGGCCTACTAGTACTAAATAATACAGTTAGAATAGAATATAATTATATATTTACCTTATTATGAGATGTAACTCTTTCACATAAATCTGGAGAAGTTGGAGATGCCTTAGAAAAATCATAAAATAAATAGATTATTTCATATCTAAAAAATAATTATTAATTTATACTTTACTAATAGCAATTTTAATGCTTATATAAAGCACTTTCTGCTCTAAAAAGATTAATATTTAATATTTACCTGAAATCTTTATCCTTTTCTGGTTTGCGGATAGGTGGTAAGCTTTTTTAATTTTATAAAACGGAAAATAATAAAATAGACATTTTTATTTGTGCGTATACAGGGCCGGGACCGACGAGTAGGTTGATGACGATAATATTTTATCAAAGTTAATCAATGTCGAGCATGATAAGTGCTTGGATGTGTGACTAATCGAATTGTGTGACCGTACACTAGTCCGAGATCTCTCCCCAAGGTATGTGAGGTCCGTCAATTCGCTGTTATCAACTCACACCAACCCGGGCATAGGAGTGATGATCAGAGATGGACAAATGCTACTCTGAGTACTGAGCACCAGTTGTTTTACTCGAATACTGACCTTTTTTGAGTACCAAAGAATTTAATTACTATTTCAGTTGATGTGAAACGATTAAATGAAGTAGTGGTTGAAATCCCAGTAGTGATAAAATTTGAGTAAAATACATGGTGCTCGGTACTCAGAGTAGAATTTGCCCACCTCTGGTGATGAATCTACCCTGTGCACTTTAATCGGCAATCGAGATGGGGTTTTCCAGGATGTCAGTAGCCACCCAAAGATTTACTGTGTAAGCTTTTCCGAGCTTTGGTCAATTCTGTCAAAAGAAATATCGATTCTTATGCGCCTTCTGACTGTGAGTAGCGAGAAACGATTTTTTACTGTCTTTGAACCCGAATGAGTTTGTAGGAAGAGTACTGCCAGAAAGGGTTCGGCAAAGGAGCTATGGGTGTCTCTCATATTCGCATATAATATATGTAAGTATTGGCATTACAGAGGTGTCCCGCACAACAATTACGAAGGCCTTGGAAGTCTTATTGTCCTTGATCCCGCTACTTCAATGGGTAATAGATGAAGTGATTATGGAATTTTTAATAATCAAGGAATTATGACTGTATCTTAGACAGTGACAAGAAACAGGTACATCTACTGGCCACTTAGAGATGGTAAGAATGGTGAAAAAATGTTATCTATTTTATGGTACCTGTCTCTGAAGCTTGAGAAAACCTTTAGATATGAAGGTCAGCTAACTGTATTCCGATAAAACAAATTGGGCAAAGAGTTCAATAGAAACTCAGAAGGACTACCTATCCAATTTAACTGATAGATCGTGAAAAGAATCAACCAGCTTAATGGGCGCAGAAGTCTATATAGAGAATTTAAATATAGAACCACGCATTCCATTAAGTAAACATTTTACCGTATTTCAAGTGGAGATGTTTGCTATTTATTTGCAAGTTATCACCTGGCTGGCATATCCATTTGGATAGTCTATCAGCACTTCAAGCCTCTGTGCAGAAATGTATCACAAACTACCCTTTACTATATAATAGAATTTGAACGATTTGTGTCGTTCAGATACAGACTTCTGGTTTAGAACAGAAAGCTTCCTCAACAAAATTGCCATGCCTTTTGAACTTTATTAGAAGAACGAAAAGGTTTGTGACAGAGATGGAGGTATAATAGACTACCATTGGTATTATTGTCTCTGGCATTGGCAAAAAGGAATAATAGGTCCACTTGCTGGACTTAGTCTCGTGCCAGTACCAGAACCATGATTCTTATTGATTTGAGATTCAGTGACCAGGCTATCTCCTGCAAACAAGGAATGTCTGTAAAGAGACTACATCACAAAACCAAAGATCTACAAGTTTGGGAAAACGTCTTAGAATAAATATTGAAAACTCGATAAATGCTTGAAACTTTATTAACTTGAAGCACACATATAGCCTGCTTGAAATCATTGATTATGTGCGTGCATGGTACTGATGGCAGAGGTCTTTTTTAGAAATTTCTCTTCGGCTCTCTGCGACCATTTTTTCTTTTCATAAGCAAAATTTCTTTCCTTTTTTTTTTTTGCTCTGCATCTCATATTGTTTCTTCCTAGTCTACCCTTAGACTTACAGCTGGCAATCATATTGATTAACCAAAGGCCAAAATCTTGGTGAGAGTGACATGTAAACCTTTTCCCTTATGATGAGCCGAAGTCCAATCAATTTGGTTGAATCTTTATGGAATCCATCCAAAAAAAAACTAAGTAGGTCATCACATTGAGTTTGTATTGGCCATTAAGATACGAACATACCCTTGACAAACACTACACTTCAGGCAGCCATGGAAAGAGGATGATTAATCGGAGGCAGGAATATTTTTAATCGGATGACGTAAGAAGTTGACATTGCAGACAATGTCATAATAAGCAGAAAGTAAGTGTTAAGAACAATTTGCAAAGGCTTGAAATGGAAGCACATATGTTAGGATTAACAATAAATTAAGAAAAGACGAAAATGCAGATATTTAAAAGAGATCAGCGAATACATTTACAGCAACATTACGTTACAGAAAAGCATATTTTTGAGGTGATTAACATCTTAAAATATCTCGGCTCAGTTATCAATGACAGGCAAAACGAAAAAGAGGAAATAATGTCCTCTACAAAAGATTGATTTGATCTTTAGTGACTTAAATTAAATAAGAATGATTAACAGTTGGCAATAGGCCGGTCAAGGTGCCTCCTTAACAATATTTTATCATATTTATGAGTTATTCTTATTGTAACTAAATATACACTTCTACAAAGGACTGATTAGTGTCTAGCCAGCTGGATTTAATTTTTCTAAGAGGTTAGAAATAATAATTCTGCTTGATAACTTATCGTGCATAAAGGTCTCTAAACAAAGATGAAAAGGAATGAATCACAAAGTGGAATGAGGATAGGAATAAGATTGTTTTCAACTGTATTATATATTGGTCCCTGATTGATGGGGTCTCCTTGGCTGGTGCGGCTACCGCTTGTGGTGGACATACTCAAAAGACATTCCACATGGCCAGTTCAGGAAAATTGTGGCAGGCAAAGAAGAAAAGCGCAGAGTTATTCATATGGCTCTACAGTGACTTGAGCATCTCCTCTTTCTCCAAAATACAGAGGTTGAACTGGCTAGGTCACTTTCTAAGGACAAATGGAAGGAGTTGCTGAAAATTGAATTTTTAAAACTATTGGTACGCTGAGAATTAATTTCCATGGTTTTCCAGTATTTATACCAACTTCTGTTTTATTGGGGCCCCTCTGTCTGTGGTAAATGCGACAGAGAACCAGAAACACCAGCACATGTGCTTGGAAAATGTCCCAACAACTCCCTCCTTATAACACGCCGTCACCACAGAGTCAAACATGAACTGATGAGGCTCCTTAAAGAGAGAGATTACGCCTGTTTCGAGGAAGTATATTGTGTATGGATCCACCCGATATGCCGACATTGTAGCATTCCCTAAGAGGAGAAAGTCGGCGATGATTTTGGATCCTACCGTGAGGTATGAGACCAATGACCTCGATCAGGCAGGCAAAGTGGACAGAGAGAAAAAGACGATCTATGAGAAATGCATTCCTTTCCTTAGTGAAAAGTTCCGCGAGAGTTTCGGGCCGAGAGAGTTCCACGTGAGAGGCCTTTGGTTTGGAGCTCGCAGAACGATACCAGACTCAACAAGGAGCTTCATGGAGGGCCTTGGTGTCAACATAAAGGACGTGGCAAGGTTGGCGGAGAATATAATCCTTGACTCCCTGGGAATTATCCATCACCATATGCATGGATAGAGAGAGAGAGAGTTTGTTGTTCATGGGGGGAGGCATGCGAGTTTTGCGGCATTTTTACATTATTCACTGACCACGTCCACTGCACTTTATGTATTTGTATGCATTTTATGAACTAGGTTAGGAAGAGAGAGGAGAGAATTCAGGGAATGAGAAAAATGTAAGGGGAGAGAAGGAAGAGAAGGGGATATATAATGCGAATAAATGAATGAAAGAAATACTAAAAATATAAATAAATAAATATATATATAAAGACAGAGAAAGAGAAAAAAAAATTATAATAAAAAAAAAATATATATATAAAAAAATTGTATACTGTGCTCATACATATTGTTAATACTATATAATTGTTTATTAGTTTTGGAAAATTGTCTGTAACGATTAATAATTATGCTGTGTTTAAAGCAACCCAATGTAATTGGGCAGCACCCTTTTATGATAATAAAGTGATTCTCTCTCTGATATTATTACCATTAAAAAAAAAAAAGGAATTTGATTTTTAATATTAAATTATTCTTAAAAACGAAACAAATTAAATCCATTTGTGAGTTGCTTAGAAACCAGTTTAACTAAAGCTAAAAAAAAATAATTGAGAGCCATGAAAGTTAAGGTGAATGCACCAATTATGGACAGAGGGCTCAGTAATGGACACGTTTGACTTTAAATGTAAACAATAAGCTTTCTTGTTGGTTTAAAGGTTCCAGTTTTTTACAGATTGAAGAACAATGCCCTCTATTGACAACTGTATAAACAAAGTTAGTTTCCAAAGGAAATTTTAAAATGCCTATCGTTTCTATAGTATTTTTCAGATCAGTGTGTTTCATACCTTCATACTAACAGTTTTGCTAAGAGTAAGTGGAACATTTATATTATTTTATCTTTATCGTTTTTTAAATATTTTAGAATTTTTCTGGGGTATGTTTTTACTGGTTTTACTTTTACCAACCCCCTGTCCATTACTACAACAATTGAATTTCGGTGCGTTCATCACTGCTGCAAAAAGGTGGTTTCTTTTAAATAGAGATTATATCTGCATAACTGATTTTTTTTTTCATTTTTAAAGTGTTAAATAGAAAAAGGAGACCCCAGAGATTCTAAATGTCCAACGGAGAAGTTTATAACCATAATAATTACGGCTGCATAAGGCAAAAAAATACATAAATTTACTTAGCTATGTCCATCACAGGTGCGCTTACCCTAGTTCTTTTCTCAAATAGAAATAACACTGACTGGTACCAGACAATTTATTGAGAGAAACAACTTCAATTTTACGCTGAATACACAAATATTACTTATATTGTAAAAAAATGGACTTAATAAGATTGGTTTTTAGTACTTCAAATTCAATTCTATAGTTTCTATACACTGGTATAAATAGTGGGAGAGGAGGGACAGTCCACACTCGGTCCCAATTATAAGGTAGTCTCACAAGGCTGTTTTAAAAAAAAATTAATAACTTTAATATAAAATAAAAATAACATATATGGTATTTTTTTTTTAATATGAAGTTATCGTTTTAAAATATTTGTTTCCTTTTTTTTAGCGTGCCTCAAAATTAGATCCACCCTGGGCAAAAAATGATGTTGACACGCCTCTGTCACTCTAACCTTCGATAATAATAAAAATATATTAATACAAATGAGTGATAACTCACCAAGAGACAGAAAGTAAATATTGGCATATAACTGAAAAAATCTAATTAAAATGCAAGTAACGAACTAAATAACCCATCAATAGTTCGCCAATTCAGACATCATCAAGACAGAAAAAAATCCAAGATCACATTTCTTCATGACATCCAAACATTCTCTTATAAACACTCATACAGTAAGACTGGGTAACTTTGGGACAGTGGGTAAAATTTATTTTGTGGTGATTCTGTGGTGGGTAGATTGTGTTGGTTCACTTTGCAAAAATGTGCATTGTTTAGGCATGTACTACACTACTACCTTGCGGAAGTTTGAGAACCCTAGTTCACTACACTCGTGCATTTAGGTTTTATTTATTTCCATTGCTTTTTTTAAAATTCTTGTTTTCATGATACTTTCACTTGTGCCTCAAGAGTAGTTTGCCACAAGGTAGTAGAGCAATACATATGCTGTTCATGCTGATTGAAGCAACAGAGTATATCCACCATGGAATCACCACAAACTAAATGTTACCCTCTGTCCCACCAAAGTTAACTCATCTTCCAGTATATATATAAGTATGAATTTGGATATCATGGAGTAATGTGATCTAGGTTTTTTTTTTCTTTTTTTGTTCTTTCCGTGCATTTTAGAAACAAGGCTATGTTGTTGGATATTTCCAATTATAACCTAATATAAATATAATGGTGGCATATTAAATATTTTCAGTTAAAATAAAAATATTTCAAAATTACATCTTAAATCTTGTAGCTTACTGGTAATGGTCTTTTAGTCAAATGAGTGATAGCTTCGAAAGGTTTCAACTTGTCGATATCACTTTCCTGAAAAATAATAAATAAAACTATGTAAATGTTCACATGAATTGCAATTTCATGGTTATTTAAGTAATTAATAAATTTGTGTATTTAAAAAAAAAAAACATTATTTATTATTCGATAGTTTTATCTAATCTGGATCACTAGGATCTAGGACCCAAGTTCAAATCCGGCTGATAATTTTTCCTGGGGCATATCTAGTTAATTAAATAATTAATTAAGAGGAACAATTAATTATTGTCCGGTCATCTCCCTGCTCAATTTTTGTCCTTGAAACGGTACTTCATAACAAAGTACTGAATGCAAAACTCTACAAAGGTTATAATGGTGAAACTTATCTAATATTGAATACAAATATTTTTGTTTGTATTTATAGACAAATTATATATTTTAGATAGATAGATAGTTTATTGGCTAGTTACATACATCTTTTAGCCATGGAGTTTGGCTCATTTGGTGTTAGTAGTTGTTAGTATTGAATGGCAATGAAATCATAAACGAAGCATAAATAGATAAAGATATAAATACGTATACATATGTAAATTCCTATTGCTTATTATAACCTCCCAATATATTCCAATAATACAAGGAATTGAAAGAAAAAAAAACAAAAAATAAAATATGTATATATATATATATTCCCAATAAGTAAATAGAATAAATAAACAAATAGATAATTTTTTCTAAAACCCAAAACAATATAAAAAAGTGTATATCTGGAAATTAATTAATGATTCAATAATATATCGAATTAGACTTTTTTTTTCTTCCTTTTCCCTCTATCCCTCTCCTCCTCTCCCTTTCATTCCCAATACTACATAAATAGAACTACGCTAAATAGTTATTCTCAAAGTTATATACATATAAACAATTAAATGGTTTTTCCTAAAATAATATAATATAGTCCTTATTCTAAATACCTATATATAGTTTTTAACAAAAAGAAATAGATGTTATTTAGTTTGTCCGCACTATCAATATTTAGAAGATTTTCCAAAGATAATTGTTTATTGTTTTGGACAATATAATCTCCTACGTATTTTCCCCTATCAATGCTTAGTCTGGAGCATTGCAATAGCAGGTGTTCTATATATATATTCTGACAATGGCTAGATTCTCCACTCAAGACATGAGTATATGTGGCTAAAGTGCTCTCGATCAATCTGCTGGCTTTAGTACCAGTGATGCTGTTGAGAGAGTAGCGCATGGTTCTTCTGGAGTCCAACTTTTCCCTCCATAGTTGGAGGAACAAGCCTTCCTTGGTGTTCCCTTGCCTGATTGTAAATAGTGTATATAGGTATAAATGTGTTTTTTGCTTTGTTTTAATTTTCTTATTTTTAAGTTATTTTATTTTATTTATTGTATATACCTTTTGATTATTATTTATTGTTGTTTTGTTTCTATTTATTTTATATTTTTTGTACATATAGTGGGAATGTCATCTTTCCTCACTATAACTAATGTCCATATGACAGATTGTTGTAATAATCAATAAATAAATAAATTAAAAAAAATATATTTATTACAATTATTCACTACATTTTTAATTAAGTAATAATGACTGTCTGCTTCTATAACATTTAGTAATCTTTTTCATTGCTATTTGTGATGAATCAATGACCTTCTTCATGGAAGTTGGTTTATTATATTGTATAATGGGTGAAACTAAAACAATCATTCACCGTTCTCAGATATTTATTAAATAAAACATAAAATTTTAGCACAGTCAACATTATTATTTGAATTCATTAAAAAATATTGATAGTACATACTAAATTATGTTTTGCCCATTATTATACTGTACATATACATCATATCAGAAACTAGAATTTTGCACAATGTTTTGTATACAATTTTATATAACAAAATCTTTTATATACACATAAAAGATATTGTGAATTTTAAAATAATATTGTAATATTCTGCACATAAAAATACCTGAATTCCTTCTTTCATAAGCTTAGAAACTCTTTCTCTTGCGCGGGATGCAAACGTTTCATTAAAAAGTGAGCTGGTGCCTTGACAGAAGAACACTGAATACATATGCATCTTCTGATTTGGGTAAATTTTCCTGAAATTTCCTTTATGCTCTTTTTCATATAGTTCCAATTTCTTTAACTGTTCTTCAGATGAAACCGGTTTTACACTAGATACATCAGTTATGGAATCATTTCTGAACATTTAACAACATAAATGGAGTTAGGCATTTGAAAGTGAGTGATAAAAAGCACATTAAAAAAACAAGAAAATTTACTACAATTAAAAATAAAATAATGGAGAAGAAATTGTTTGAACAAAAGCTTAGTAGACCTTTATGGCATATGGTTTAATTATTGTATGAATTAATGTGCTATAATAATAATATACAGATTAATAAACTTGTAATTAATAATTCTTTTTGATAAATTATGATTTTCTGAATCGGAAATTTTTTCAAAGCTTATACCTGGTTAAGCATAAAAATAAATTATCAGGAGTTTACTGAAGGAAGTTAGTCGACTGTTCAACATATTAGGGGTGATGAATAGTCAGGACTCAATCATTTTAAGATTTTTATTGTTGCTGACATTTCAACTCCCTGTGGGTCATCAAGGCATTACTAGCACTGAAGGTGTACTTGCCAATGTATACTTGAACACCTTCAGTACTGGTAATAATATTGTGCTAATGATGATCCACACGCTTGTGTTAAAATGTCAGCAACAATAACAATCTTATAATGACTTCATCCTGACTGTTTATCACCCATTATATAAGAAGTTTAAAATGATTAAGAACTAAAATCTAAAAACACACAAAATGAAATGAAATTAAGATTACCTGTGATTACTCAAGGGGGAGCTTGGGGTGCTTTGTAAATCTTTCAAAAGCCTGTTTGTTACATTTCGTTTATCCTCTATCATGACACTGTGTTTTATATTTTTTGGTAAATTTAGAATTTTAAAAGTGTCTATAATCAGAGCCTCTTTCACTTCACGATCAATGGGTGCGTCTGTATGAAAACTTGGGGAATGATTCACCTTAAAAATAAAAGTAAATCTGTGTCAACCAATAATAATGATGGTTTTAAAAAAAAAATAATGAAATGTAATATTAGTATCTATTATTACTTAAAATTTTAAGAATTTTGAAAATTTTAATTTTCTTACCCAAATTGAAAAATCATCAAATTAACACATTAGGTCATAGAGTAAAAGTAACTAATTAATGCTTTATTTCTGAAGCAAATGAAATATTGACTATTTTTTAATGAGCTTTAACATGAGTGAAAAAAAAATTGGGCTTGTCATTAAAAAAATATTATATGAATACATTTTTATAATACAACATAAAATATTTAAAACTCGAAACGTAATTTTGGCGCCTATGATCTGATGTCAATATGAAGTATGGAGATCATTAAAATAATTTTGATTTAGTAAATCTTCATACCTCTAGTAGATAAGGTTTTAACGTGTTATCTAGGATCAAGTCGAATCCAAGAACTTCGAAACAAGCTTGCCTGTTACGGTGACTTGGAAATGCAGCTTTGTAGTTGTGCTGTAATGTCGGTAGCGCTAAGAGCACAGTTTTAATAATGACATCATCAATATCATCCCATAGCTTGTTAACATCATGAAACTGTCTTCTTAAATAATCATTCAGTGTACTCAACTTCCTGTGAATAATAGATGAAAAAAAAAATTGTATTTGCTACGTTTTAACATCGATGTGAACATAATAAAACAAACTGACCTCTTGCTCCCTTCTTCTGGATCCGCTATGTATGTTCGACTAAATTTATTGACAGAGTAGTTCGTTAGATGCATATACATATTACACATGTTTGCTCTATTCGGCTCTTTATAACGTTTAGTGGCAAACCTAAGTAAAGAATTTTATTTTAAAGCAAAGAATCCAGTAAACAAAGAAATTTTTAGAATATTGCTCAATGTTATAATTTATCTAAATACTTAATCCTTCAACAATGGTCGACTCATAAATGAGTCAAGAGAGAATTGTGCCCAGATGATATTGAATTCATATATAAGTCGAGAGGGAATTTTGCCCAGGCGACATTGGACTCATATATGAGTTGAGAGCCTGGCAGGTTTTTTCTCTTTAAATGAAGGGGTGCTCAGTAATGAATTTTGTTTTCAAACTGTCTTGTGACCTTTCTATTATCAACTGCATAAAAAAGTTTGATAAATAAATAAAAACTGGGAATGATGGCCCAAATTCCTTTTTGGACGATAGTCCTCAAGGCAGCCCCTTCCTTCCTGCTCTTTATTGCTAAAAGTTTAAGATAGAGAACATTAAATATAATCATTTGAAAGAAACATATTACTGTCAACCGACATTCTCAAGGAGCTATCATTTTCTCTGCTTTCTCAATCATTGAAATGCTTTTGATGAAATTTTAGAAGTATGTAGTTGTTAGTTTATCCTTTGAGAATGGCCCAAGTAATCTTATAAGAACCCTTCAAGTACATTTTATTGAGCAGATAATAACATTCTCTTTGAGAAGACTAGAACTCGCTACAGATTGTGATCAATACTTCTTGTTGATAAAGTTTATTTAAACTTCTGATACAAGGTAGAGTTATTTCAATTTTGAATAAATCTTCATTAAAATTTATAGTTGACTAGTTCAATCTTAACAAATTGGATTATTCTATATAGATGTTTCCAAAATTTATGATAAGATGAATAAATGTTTATAAAATTACATTGATACTCACCTTACTAAACCTTCGTTATAAACATATAATCTTAATGGATCACAAGACGTTATCAAGACATACACCCTCAAGTCAAATTTAAAACCATCAATCAAATAAGGCTGTAATGAAAACAATTATAAATTTAATGAATAAATAGGCTCAATATCCATATAAATTTTTCAGTTAAAGAGTCTAATTTTTATACGAGATTATTAGTATGAACAAGAAATATATATAGCATTTCCAAGTCAATTTCAACCTTTTCCAAGTCAAATTCAACCTTTTCCAAATCAAATTAAACTTTTTCCAAGTCAAATTCAACCTTTTCCATTTCAAATTAAACCTTTTCCATTTCAAATTCAACCTTTTTTTATTTATTTAATTATCTTTAATTTTTCGATGCGTGGGTCTGTTATCGTATGAGTAGTTTTTTAAAATAACCTCCTTTTTAAGATTACGTGACTGCGTTTCGAATTATTTAAGTTTTTTATGGGGGTATTTAAGTTCGAAGGGTGTATTTTTATGTTTCCCGATCAGTGAATTTTTAAAATGACATCTATTTTATGTTTACGCCATTGTGTTTTGATTTATTTAAGTTTTTAGAATTTATCCAATATAAAGGTCTACTTTTTTGTTTCCGGAGCCGTAGATTTTGAAAACGACCTCCATTTTAAGATTAGGCCACCGCGTTTCGACTTATTTGAGTTTTTCGGATATTTTTCATATGAGGGTGTATTTTTATGTATCCGGAGCTGTAGATTTTGAAAATGACCTCCATTTTAAGATTAGGCCACCGCGTTTCGACTTATTTGAGTTTTTCAGATATTTTTCATATGAGGGTGTATTTTTATGTATCCGGAGCTGTAGATTTTGAAAACGACCTCCATTTTAAGATTAGGCCACCGCGTTTCGACTTATTTGAGTTTTTCGGATATTTTTCATATGAGGGTGTATTTTTATGTTTCCGGAGCTGTAGATTTTGAAAATGACCTCCATTTTATGATTACGCAACTGCGTTTTGACTTATTTAAGTTTTTCGAATTTATCCAATATTAAGGTCTACTTTTATGTTTCTTGAGCCGAAGATTTTGAAAATGACATCCATTTAATGATGACGCCATTGCATTTTGACTTATTTAAGTTTTTCGAATTTATCCAATTTAAAGGTCTACTTTTATGTTTTCGGAACCGTAGATTCTGAAAATGACCTCTATTTTATGATTACGCAACTGCGTTTCAACTTATTTAAATTTTTAGAATTTAACAAGTATAAAGGTCTAATTATATGTTTCTGGAGCAGTAGATTTCTCCCATTTTGTAAATGACCCAATTTAAAGTTTATGCCACTGTTTTGGACTATAAAAGTTTTTTTTTTTTACTTTTTCAGTATAAAGATCTACTTATATGTTATCCGAGACGTATTGAAATTTTTCTAATCTTTAATATTTAAATTTATCTAATATTTAAGCTCCATTTTATGATTAAGCCGCTGCATCTTTATTAATTAGGCTTCATTTTGGGTTTTTTCAATATAAAGTTTCATCAATATGTTTTCGAGTATGAATAAATAAATAAATATTATGAAGCTAAAGTTAAATTAACCACAGAATACAAACTAAAAAGCCGAAAAGCAACTGGTAATAAATTTAACCTTCCGTATTCAGATTTTTCAGCTAATTGTTCGAAATCTTATAATTTTGTGATAGGAGACTACAACATTAAAAAAGATAACTAAAATTAAATTAAAAATGAGACAATACATATTTTATTTATTTTGATTAGATATTTTTATTTATTTATTGAAAAATAAATTAATCCTTCGTATTATGTTTTTTATTCGAAGGAAAAATCAAAAACACTTAACAAAACCGAAACACAGTGGCATAATCTTAAAATGTAAGTCGTTTTAAAAAATAAGGCTCCGGGATCATAAAAGTAGACCTTTAAATGGATAAATTCGAAAAACTTGAATAAGCCGAAACGCAGTGGCGTAATCTTAAAATGGAGGTAATTTTCAAAATCTACGACTCCGGAAACATAAGAATACACTATTTTATGATAAAAATTCGAAACACTTAAAGAAAACGAAATGCTGTGGCCTAATCTTAAAATGGAGGTCGTTTTCAAAATCTACGGCTCCGGAAACATAAGAATACATCCTCATATGAAAAAAATCCGAAAAACTCAAAGAAATTGAAATGCGGTGGCCTAATCTTAAAATGGAGGTCGTTTTCAAAATCTACGGCTCCGGAAACATAAGAATACATCCTCATATGAAAAAAATCCGAAAAACTCAAAGAAATTGAAATGCGGTGGCCTAATCTTAAAATGGAGGTTGTTTTCAAAATCTACGGCTCCGGAAACATAAGAATACATCCTCATATGAAAAAAATCCGAAAAACTCAAATAAGTCGAAACGCGGTGGCCTAATCTTAAAATGTAGGTCATTTTCAAAATCTACAGCTCCGGAAACATAAAAATACACCCTCATATGAAAAATATCCGAAAAACTCAAATAAGTCGAAACGCGGTGGCCTAATCTTAAAATGGAGGTCATTTTCAAAATCTACAGCTCCGGAAACATAAAAATACACCCTCATATGAAAAATATCCGAAAAACTCAAATAAGTCGAAACGCGGTGGCCTAATCTTAAAATGAAGGTCGTTTTCAAAATCTACGGCTCCGGAAACATAAAAGTAGACCTTTATATTGGATAAATTCTAAAAACTTAAATAAGTCAAAACACAGTGGCGTAAACATAAAATGGATGTCATTTTCAAAATTTACTGATCGGGAAACATAAAAATACACCCACATATCGAATTTGTCAAAAAAACTTAAATGATTCGAAACGCAGTCACGTAATCTTAAAATGGAGGTTATTTTCAAAACTAGGTACAGGACAGCATAATACTAGTCCCTAATAAATCCGAATAGGTACAATAAATCGATATCCGTAAGTGAAAATTCTACTTAGGAGAGCATAATAATAGACTTTCATATTGGAGGGGATGAGGGGATGGCCATTATTTAAAAAAAAAATATAAAATTTACAAAAACTTAAAACATTAATTTGAAATGAAAACGGTTGAATTTGAATTGGAAAAGGTTTAATTTGAAATGGAAATGGTTGAATTGACTTGGAAAAAGTTTGATTTGATCTGGAAAAGGTTGAATTTGACTTGGAAAAGGTTGAATTTGACTTGGAAATAATTGAATATAACATAGAAATATCGCACTGAAAAAATCTAAAATGTTAAAATAAATGGATATGCAACTGCGTAATCAATTTTTTTTTTGTATTTTTTAAAAGCTATGCCGTCGATAATATAGTAAGTGGCCTTCATTTCCAAAAAAATCGAAAATTGACAAAAATTCTAAAGTTGAATTTGAAATGGAAAAGGTTGAATTTGACTTGGAAAAGGTTGAATTTGAAATGGAAAAGGTTTAATTTGACTTGGAAAAGGTTGAATTTGATTTGGAAAAGGTTGAAATTGACTTGGAAATGCTATATAAAAAGTTAAGATTAGAGAACCAATTAAAATAAAATTACACGACTGCTTAACTGTGTTGAGTTGCTAAATAACATAGCATGCATACTCATCAATTCAACAGATATTTAAAAACAAAACAAAAAGAAAAGATAGGTGGGACCATTATAATTATGTCAAATGTAGAACTTTGTTCTCCTATTTCTGTCCACGGAAACAACTAAGAAAAGGCCAAGATTATACTAAAGGATTCCCATTGAGAGTAAAATAATAGTTTCTGCCATGCTCTATAACTGTTTCTTTCCAATATCGAGTTTCTGCAACAAATTAATAGTTAGAGAGATGATTCCTCCACTTTTGTAGGAAAGCCCTTTAAGAGAAAATTATCTTTTGTCAAATTCTTTTCTATACTCCACTTGTAAATAAAGTATGCATTTTATATGAATGTTAGGACCTTAGCCCAATACATGAGCTGGGGTTTTTGACTTGACTCCATTTGTTGCAAAGAGCTCAAATATAAAATAAATAAATGTAAAAAAACAAAATTAAATGATGTAGATTAGTAGTTGAAGGCATAGAATTGATAGTAAAAAAAGTAATGATTTAAAGATGTAAAAGATATTTGTTGCTTAAATAATGCTTTTATAAATTGTATCAAAACAGTTTTTACAAATTATTGCTATCTTGTAAGATTTTAGGATCGAGAATTCAGAAGAATATAAACAAAAGATGATTACTGATACAGCTTCTAATTTTATACAAGATGGAGACAACACATCTCCCTAGGCTAGATAAATTACTGGAAATAAAGAGAAAGATTCTGAGAAGAATCTATGGGCCCAAGAAGACACTGGAAAGCTATAGGTTAAGACCCGACCAGGAAATCAACAGGGAGATAAAAGATATAGAAACCGAAATAAGGATCAGAAGACTAAGATTCTACGGGCACATGATAAGAATAGACCAAGGGAGACCAAGCGAGAAAGCCTTTGACAGAATCCGTGAATACAAGAGCCTAAGAGGATATGTAAAACAAACGAAAGAGGAAACAGAAAAATTGAAAATAACAGACAAAGACTGCCTGGATAGGGAACAAATCAAGAAAAACGGGACTGCATGATCGAAAGAGAGGCATGCAGAAATTATGAGAAGATACTGGGAGAAGAGAAAAGCAAAAGTGAGAAAGGAAAAGTAATGATATTCGCGTTAGCCGTTTTGTGAAAAATAAAAAAATAACTTTTATTGTATTTCGTTTTTCATGAATTTTTTGAGTAACTGTTCTTAAGTCATTTTCATTATGTTATTGTAGCAAGTATGAAAAATGTATACATATTTGTAATAAATAACTTTTATTAATTTACCAGAAGCAACTTTGCTAAATTTAGAATCCACAGAAAAAATATATATATATTTTCAAAGGGCAAACTAAAAGGAAAATGGATATTCATAATCTTTTCTAAGACCTGGCGACTACTAAATGTCAACTTTAATTGTTAGTTGTTAAGTAGTTTAGTACTTAAGTAGTATACCTTCGGAACGTAGACTTGGCAGATGGTACGGTCGAGGCTAACCAAGTCCTTTACATTCTTAGTCAGCTGTATCCCTTTTCCTTTACAGCCAATGTCAGGCTTCAAAATGTATGTCGTGGTTTTATGTTTTTTTGAATATTCAGTGACCTCTCCTAAACTTTAAAAACAAAAAATGTATCCATATACATTTTATATGATGTGCTTACATAATAAAATGAACTCTGGAAAATAATTAGATATTTTTTTCACATGCAATGCTAGTTTTGAAAGTAATATTAATAAAATATAAGTGAATATAATAACAATTTATTACATCCTACATTATGTAATGCTATGTTCCTGGCCTCACGTTTCTACGGCGAGTTGGAGGTTCCAGGAACCGCATTTATTTGTATTTAATAGTTATATTCGTATTTATATCGGTTCCAGAAGGGAACCGATCTACAGAAAAATCTATTAATTATATATTTAAATGTTAGATACCACAGACCCCCTTACTGTAGTATCCTAGATTGAACCATATAATTTTGATTGGATTTCTTTTCTAGAGGTATCATATTTTTAAATTTACTATTTGTTTCTATTACTAATTGGTGGCATGCAAGGTAGAATGTAAAATTAACAAGATGGTTTACTAACTATTATATTTACAAGCTTAAATAAAACCAAACCATATATACACAAAATAATAATCAAAACATATATACTATGATATTAGAGAATCATACTAGAGGAGAACGCTATTTACAAAATTATGCCTGATTATTGGTTGCCAACACGAGTTTACATCTTTATTACTACATGAGGGTTATTACCTAGTTGGTTCTTCATGGTTAGGGGGGGTTGAACTGTCTCTCTTCTGGCTGCTTCCCTGGACCTCTGTCTTCCTCCAAGTATCAACTGTCCTAGCCTGATTCCCAGCTTGAAGTCCCCCCTCGCTTGAGTTCCAACTTGAAGTGTCCTAGGCTGAGTCCCAGCTATCAGTGTTCAGTCCCAATCCTATATTTCCCACCTTTCTTCATCCCCCTCTCTTTTTGTACTCTTTTCTGATTGGCTGAATATTCCTAGCCTAAGGGATGACCACGCCTTCTCCCCCAGGCCAAGATATTCCAGCAGGTACAGATTTAGGTATTTCTGGTGGAAGGTGTGAAAGGTCTTTCTGGAAGGTGTTAATGTTTCTTTGGTTCCTGTTTAAACATTCAGGCGTGAGACTGTTGTCGGTCTTTAAGTGGTTCTTAAGGGTTTTTATTTCCACTTATAAAAGATTGCCCTCGTGGGTCGTTACCCTCGCTCAGGTACTGCCAGATGTGAGCACTTATGATATTTATTTATTTATACCTTTAAAATAATTAAATGAATTCCACCGGCGGTCTTTAGAATACATAGCAGTATAAATTAGTAAAAAATATTTAATTGTGAAATGTGAAGATAGCTCAATTCCATGATTAATTCTCCACCAATAGTCTTAAATAACTGATTGATAAAAGTAAATAAACATACTCTATTGGTAGTAGCCATGTTCTTGGGGAGAAGTCGTAGTCTTTTGGAAAGAGCTTGCTCATACGATTCAGATTCCTTGCCAGCAAATCTTTGCGGCAAATTTCTGCCATTCCAGGAAAGTGATTGATTTTCTGCATACAAAAACAATAAAACAGGAATTGATTAAAATGTAAAAAATATAATGAAAACGAAAATATTTCAATATTCTGAAATCAAATTATTCGCATATTTTTTATTAGTGCAATATAAATTTCAATGTATCGCTGAAATTATAAGATCACAATACTGTTTCTATTTAACAAATTTTTTACTTTCACTTACCTATACATGTAATAAATGTTAAGAGAAAGTATTGCGATCGTGAAAATATCCGAATATGAATTTTCAACAGAAATACACGTTTTGAGGACCATTGAGTCCAAATAACCAAGTCCTGCAAAAAGGTGTGCGTGTGTGTATGTGAACAGTCTAGCTCAAAAACAAAAAGTGGTATGAAAGTGATTTTGCGAATTTAAGATGTCTCTGAGATGTTACAGCAACTTTTTCCTAAAAATCGGTTTACCAGAAGTGCAATTTTTCATCAACAGTTATACACATTTTTACAATTATCCACAAAACGGCTCTAACAATTTTGATTAAACTCAGTGTATCATTGTATAATTAAGTGGTCTTTAATATAATTTAGGTCTTATCTCCATTGATGTCACTTTACAGGGCTAAAATGCCGTTATGTTCAACATGTCTTCCTCTTATGTACCTTTAATTTGGTTTATTTTAAATAATTAATTTTTGGTCATTGTTAGAAGTTATAAAAAAAATGCTAAATATAACTTTTGAAAGAATTTGATAATTGAAAAATAGAGAAAGAAGGTAAAATGTTTATTTAGGTCGAAAACGAATATCCAGAAATACTAGTCAGAAGATATAATATATTGTTGGAAAGCGGAGAATTTCAGAAAAAATAATATCTAGTAATTAAAGTTGTATGAGGTAGCGGGGAGTGATGAAAACAAATACAAATAATAATTTCTTAAAACTAATATTATTTAACGTAAATCACATGTTTTCAAGGAAATTAAATGAAATTTACTAACTAAATGTAAACTTTAAAAAAGAATTCTAAGTTAAACAAAGTATTTAAAATCCACCTAATCAAGGCAATGACATTGTTTTAAAAACTATTTCATTGTACTTATGCGAAAGATGTAGTGAAATATAAAAATATTTCATGTATGTGTAAAGCAACTGTTAATAATCTTAAATACATTTACTGTAGTTCTAGATCTGATATTATATTTAAATAATAAGGTATCAACGTCCGTTTATTCCAAAAAATCGTTTGGAAAATTAAATTGGTGATTAATTTTCCATTTGTGAAATCCCAGCATTATCCACTTAAAATTAGTGACAACTTTTGACTTATCTATGACAGGCAATGAAAATCTTGTAATCTCATTTGGTAAACTTTAAAATGGAAAATAACAGCTCAATAACTAATAATCCTACAATCCATAATCATTTATAGGTTAAATATTTAGATATACAATACTTTCAAATATCTCAAGGCATATATGTGCCTTTTGGTTGCCTAACTCCAATTTCAACATAGTTTATTATTAATTTTAGTGATGTTTCTAGTGGCAAAATCATACCTTAATTCGCAGTTCTATATTATGTTACGTGCACCAATTTTTTTTTAATATTATTTTCTTTCAACACGTATAATCAGCTGTTTTGGATGTAACTTCCTTCCCCTTTTTTTTTTTTTAATGTAAGTTAATTTTGATTGGTAGATGGAATATTTATTAATATCTCTAGAAATTTAATCTGAATTAAATATTTGTTTTGCCCATCAAATTGAATATAGGACTTACAAATTATTTTTTAAAAATATTTTATTAAGTTATTTAATAGTTTGCAGCAGTTATGATGACTGTATTGGTGTAACATCGATTAGTTATTTGTTTAATCCTTTTTAATAGAGTATTCCAATAACATCAAAGTTTATAATAATTAAATAGGCAAAATTATTTTAACAAAACATACCCCTACAAAAAAAAGGTATTAAAAATTACTTAATATAATTGATATTACATTCCAGTTTTAGTTTTTCAATTTTGAGATTTATTTTTAATTTAATATTTTCTCCCGATTTGTTTTTTAAAGATAATTGCCAATACCAATTCAGTTCAGAAGCCACTATTCAAATATTCCTCAAGTCATATAATGAAATTTACCTGATACCTCCGTAAGTTTTTAATTCTTTCACAAGTTACAATGTAATCACTCCATAGAACGTTCCAATTTTCTTGCGATTCCCTCATTCCAAACTTGGAGGCAATCTGCCGAACGATATCATACCTGCAGTGTGCTGTACAAATGTAGTTTGGCCTGGATAAAAGTCAAATTTATTTTTATCAGACCAAAAATTGCACAATATAAATATAAAGTAAAGTTATATTAGTTTACTTATATTTAAACAATGAAATATACACTTTCTGCATAAGTCTACATTTAACAAATGTCTAACCTCTAACTTGCAACTTATTGTTTAAAAGTGTTGTGTTTTCTCTCTGAAGAGTTAAAAGCACATAATCCCTATTTTTAAAAAATATTATTCTGAAGTATGTGTAGGATACACCTTTCAGTTTTATATTTCATTAAAAAGTGTATTTTTTAGATATATTAAGAAACATTACAAAAAAGTATTTTTTATTAAGTTGGAGTCAGAAGCTTTCAGCTTGTTATATATGTAGAAGAACATATATTTGTGCATATATTAATTTTAATTTATATATTTATAAGATAAACTTAAGCAGTTCAAGAAAGTGAGGAAGTGAAAACTATGTATATAATCTACAAAATCTAAAATAATGGATACAAAAATCAGTCACTGCTTAAAAGATGAATAATACGAATTTAATAAATCATTTCAGATTTAAGTGGATTTATCGCCTCAGTCATTGGTTCAGAAAAAACAATGAAATGTATAGCAAAGGAAATGAAAGACCAGGTATAAAGATAATTTGGGACTGTCATCAAGATAAGTGATTTAAAATAAGCCTCAGAATACAATTATAACAGATTTGTCTAATAGTAACATACGGTTGTGTAATACAATCTTTGGCAAAGTAATCTTCAAATGTAAGTATGACCTAATAAATACAGGAACACAATGAAGGATGAGAAATAACAAGGAGAAAATTTATATGATTCATCATGCATAGTGGCTATCACAATTAATAGCTAACTTGAGGGGATAAGCTTAAGGCACCGATTGGAATTGGATACATATTATAAAATTATTGAGGGGTTTCAGGTTGGGAAAAAGATTATTTCAATCGAATAATTCAATTAATTTTGTGATTTATAATTCAAATATTTTTCTGCCCAGCTCTGGTTTGTCAACCATATCAAATCAGACATCCCTCAATGTGGTTTAAAGGAATCCCTGCAGTAATGGAAGCTAGACTGCTGAGGAATGGGGCATTCACAGAAGTGAAAAAGGAGTAAGATTAATTGACTTTAACTGAAACCAGCTACGAATCTGCTAAGTTTAACTAACTCTGCAGTCTTCAGATTCAGCAACTTGTAGATGAAATGGCATACCACTTAACATGCAGGCGTGAAGATCCATTAGGTTGATCCTTCAGCTTTGGTTTCGAGTGTAGTGAAGCAGTTAACTTAGTAGGTCTGTAGAGGTTAGACATTGCAATTTTCCTGCCCAAAAAGGGACTATGTCGGTACACAATGTCCTTCCACGATGAATTTAGGCTGAGTAAAAAGAAAAAAAATATGTGATGAAAATAATGAAATACATAAGGAGATTAAACCAAATAAACAACAATATGATGACAATAAGACTAAGTCCAACATGGTCAGAAAAATTGGTCAAAACTCTCTACAGACTACTTAAGAAGTTTACAAATAATATGTAATAGATGGATATTATTGCAAAATTGTATTAATAAATATGTACAGTGTAAACATATCGTTTCATATTTTTACTCCTATACACAAGGCATCTGCCTACTGAAGGTAATTTATATTAACCACCTTACTACAGTCTTATATTAAATGGCTTTCAGAGCATTTAAGTTAATACGATTTAAGCCAATTGACCTGCCATGATCCATGGGTCTTAAAGAATCATCACTTTCTTAAAACGTGATTGCTGTAAAACTAGACCTGACATATCAGGTTGAATGGTTTTAGTGAAAATCAAAGAAATGTATACATATACGTGTTAGACCCCAATTAGTTAGGTAGAATATCTGACGTTCAACAGAAACAATATGGATAGTTGATAGTTAACTAATAGCGTAGCCTGGTTACTTTTTTTGCAGTTTAAGTCAATCTTTTGTTCATTCGATTGAATGACAGACCATGAAGATCTTTGGCCGCGCGATGTGTTCTTCTTACAGACATATATGCTGCAGATAGAGGGTCTTCAAGAGGTCAACGAACTTCATGTTGTGAACTATGGTGTTCTAGGCTCAGCGGCAGGTTAACCATTACTGCCTAGCCTATCTCTTTTGGGGCCAGTCCGGAAGTATTCTTCCCACTGACTTTGGGATGAGGAATTGGTCTTTATTCGCGAATTATTACTTGTCAAGGCGCACAAGTATCTAAATATATTTTCTTAAAGCATACCTATCACGTACCAAATCTCTAGTTGACTATTTGATATCTTGGCAAACAATGCACGGTTTCCGATTGAAGTCTTTTTATTTTTGGAATTTTCTTCCATTCATAGAGTTTTGCTGAGACCAGAATAAGTGTTAGTAACTTGAAGCTAGGTCTGGTGAATATCGAGGATAGGGTAAAAGATCCCATTCAAGGCCCAATACTTTACTGCGTGTGACCAATGAGGTGTGGGGTCATAGAGTTGTCTTGGTGGAACAAAACACCCTTCCGATCATTCATAACTCTTCAGGATGTTCTCCAAATTCCATGTTACTATATTCGTTGGAAAGCTGAACTATTGTTCTTCAAAGCCTTGTGAATATTTTTTTTTATTTAATGCCTATATAAGGAATAAATAAACAAAAACCCCTCATAGGTTTTTATTTTTTATCTCCATTTGTAGTTTGTTTACGAAGGTCCTGTTGATGTAATTTTGTGTAGTTTATATGGCCCTAAATTCCTGCTAAATTTCTTGTAGATAGGTAACACATTTAGGGCCATAACAATCTCTTGCACTGATTGGGTGGGATTTTGATCAACAATGGCCATAGCATTGCTCGTTTCAATTTCATTTGGGTGACCAGACCGTTGAGCATCATTGATGTCAAAATATTTTGAATGAAATTTGGAAAAACTAATTTTGACAAGTGCGTTCGGTTAAGACATCATCCCTAGACACTCCATATTTTTCTATGAGCTTCTGCAGCATACCGCAATAATGAATGATATTTTCTTCCATATCCACAGTGCAATAGGAAACACAATACTAAGATAGTTTCAATAAGAGTTAACAGATATAGTTGTTGACATATTACAAACAGAATAAACAATCCACCTTAGGGATTAATTCATCAGATAAGAAATATATCATAGTGACATAAAAATAAACAGAAAAACCTAAAGGACCTATTTGCCAACCCAATAAATATGTATGAAATCAAAACGAAATATTTTAGAGCATCAGCCTTGTTGGTCATTAACTACAACACCTTTCATAGGCTTCCTCCATTTTATAAAATTAATTAAATATTTATTGTTAATAATGAACAAATATTTTTTTCTTACTTGACTTTTTTCGCTTTTATTGGCAGATGATTGGAGGAATGTCCTTTACCTGCCTGTACTTCTTCTTTCTTCTCCATTTTATGCAATCCTTCATTTCCATTTCGTAAGCATTCTAAACATTTTTTCCCTAACAACAGACTTTAGATGACTGATAGAACTCATATTTTTCATATTATTTATAAATTATACATACCACTTATGTCGCAGTCAATGCACAGTCCATTGTAGAAGTGGCTGCTTTCGTCAGACAGGTACTTCAAGGGCCCTAGCTTCGGCAGGATGGGATTGTTCAGCATGTTAGCACGATTCGTTACTTTTTTCTTACTTCTTATACATTTTTTACCATATTTGATTTTTTTTCTATTATCTGAAAAAAATAATTAATCGTTAGTATCAATTTCATCTTGGAGAAGAGTAGCTCAGAGGTAGGTTACTAAGCTTCCAATGCTTAAAGGTCTCAGGTTCGAATCCCGGCTCAAGGCAGAAAAATTATATATTCTGTTTCATTAGCCGTGGGGCGGCCCTGGGTATGTAGACCTTCCTGGACATACCCAGCCTCTATAAACTGGGTTTACTTAATTAAAATAATTAATTAAGGGGAAAAACCTGGCGGTTGAGCGTGATCTTGGTCAAATCACCTCCTAACACAGCCGTAGACCAAGAAACAGTGCTTTCCCTAAATAATACTGAACCCAAGACCCTTCATGGGTTGGAGGGGCATGTAGCCTAGGTTGTAGTGGTATGTGGTATGGGTTGTAGCCATCATTACGAAGATTATTTAAGGAAGAGGTGCCTAATTGAATGTTTTTTGAGTTATGCGCACATAAATTTTTTAAACTAATAAGTTTAAGATGAATGGAACCAAAACAAACTTATTCACTGCAAGTCAGAAACACAAGATGTCCAACACTAGTGTAGATCATATGAGATCAAATAAATAAATTATATGTAGAGTTAATGCATGCTATCTGGCAGCACTGTACCTGTTGTAAACAAAGTCAGGTTGGCTTGGGTGAGGTTACCCAGAGACAGTAGTAGTCCTTTGTTCCTGATAGTGTAATGTTTCTGTAGAGGAATAAAAGTGTTTTGTGAATTTTTGGTGTAAAGTTTTTTAACGAGCCTCATTTGTTTCCTGAAGTGATTTTCTGACATCACATTATAAATAATACTAAAGGCTCCTACACAGAGAGAGCGCTATGTCTCAGCGATACGATATTTCTGTCGGCTGGGATATGAAGATATAGTTTTATCACTATCTATTGCATTATAGCAGCCAAACAGACTCCGATAATCCGCAGCGATACCGACAAGCTGACAAAGGATATCGTATCGCTGGAACATGTTGCGCTCTACATCTAGAGGTCTTAGTGCCTTACAAACACAAGAGTTCATGCCGAAGCCATTGACAAATACTTTAATGCTTCTCTCCATCAAAACCAAAATCTAAAAGGTCAGAATCAACACTCCCAACTCCGTTTCGGCCTATCCCTTGCAAGTTTATCTCTCTGCTTAGTAATGTTAATTTTTCGGCGAATCGTTCATTATTAGTCCTACAACGTTTTACGTAAATTTCAGTTGACGCAAATACTTTTTTTAAAAAATTTGTATTTCCGAGTGGAAGTCACGCTATTTCGTGTCGTTTAACCATCTTCATTTTACAGCCGATTTATTCTTTTTTGGAGTAAAATATTTTAAGCGATATTTTATTTTGTGAATCTTGAAGTGTTAAAACATTACGTTGAAAGAACGGACTTACCGTGATCAGGAGTTAGGGATATAAATACAAGAGTGAGATTTGTTCAGCGAAATAATGAAATGATATGTCATAGCTTTGGATCACAGGCAGATCTACGGGGAGAGGTGAGGAGGGGGGGGGGCTGAATTCTCCCCAGAATGGTAAAATATTACCATGTTTTACAGAAAAAATATCTCTTAAAGTATTCTTGTTCGTATAATTATATTTAATAGGACTTTAAGAACCACTTAAACACCATTTCATATAGGTAATTAATTTCTTTATTTTTTTTTCAAATTAATTATCGTTATATGTATATGAAAAAAAAATTCTTTCGGGCTGAAGACCGCCTCCCCCCCCCAAAAATAAATCCAGGATCCGCTAGTGCTTTGGATTATAAAGCTAAGCATAGAACATATTTGTAATAATTTGTTAAAATAATAACTTAGCCGTAGATGCGTTCTTTGAGCCGACTGAAGACAACTATTGGGGCAAAGATTCTAAACAAGAACATTTATTTCATTTAAAATAAATTAAGTGACTTTTGTAATAATGGTCGAAGCTAATGAGACTCCATCTGAGAGCCATATACTAGAGATCGCAAGATCGGTTAGCGGCATGTTAGGGCGGGCCCATCAGATTCTCGATAGACCGCTAAAGTATGTGTAACATCAGGAAGAGCAAGACCACTTACCCTACACAACCTATATGGCGGCTTGAGAAACGACTAAGAACACCAATTTGTGAAAAACTCTGCTCATTTTCTGTTCTGAAATGGCTTTGATCTAATCGAAAATCCTGCTTTGACTACCATTGCGGATGGACAACGCAAACTCGAGCAGTTTTGCATATAATTGAATAAAATAAAATAAATGAAATTTGTGCCATTGTACAATGGTGTGGTTCTTTACAGATTTATTACATATTGCTTGATTGTCAATTTGGACTTTCTGTCTGAATTTGAGCTTCTTGATTTTGGCCACCTCTTCGTCCTCCCCATACTTCCTTCACCAGGCTGTTCTCTTAGAGTTTAGCAACTCATATTGTCTTTTCTTGCCATTTCTTAAGAGAGTACCTTAATGTGTACACACTTCACCAAATCAACAGATTTACTCTACAGGAATGGTTTGCAGCAAAATGGTGGTGAAGTTCTGACTGTATAGAATTGTTATTTTTTGTGTTTCAGGGGTTGATCCCTGAACAAACCGCCCACCTAAATCAAGTGTAGCTGATTTAAGATTTGATTGCCTCAATATGACATATTTTGCACAAGCAAAAATAGTTACGTAGAAAGAATGTTACAATATTTGTAACCCTAAGAAAAGAGCACAAATCACTGACTAATAATTACTAATAAATGACTAATAAAAACTAATTACAAATTAGTTCTATTATAAACAATAATAAAATGAAAATGAACTTATGTTTATGAACTTACATAAAACAAGAAGATAATAAAAAAGAAAGGTGTGATCTTTCATTGAAAATCGTTGTAAAAAATTAGAAAACCAAAACTAAAAGATGTCAAACTGTTGTATGTCAAACTAGTACACCCTAATTAGTTTTAATGCACTCGGAATCCAAAACTTCCTGAGTGAGGACAGTGTCAAATTGGGACCGTATTGAAAGTGCCTTTCATGCAGGTCTCTGAAACTAAGGTCTGACAAGTTGCACTTCCTGGGCAAGAGTATTGGATGATTATAAGGAATGCCAACGGGAGAACGCAGCCTGCCGCCCACCCTGATGGTGTCCAGTTCGTCAACAAAAGGAGAGAGCTTCTTTGTGGATATTATGACATTGTTAAAACTGAGTAGCAAATCTTCATCCTTTCAGCTAAACGAAACTACATACAATAACGAGAAGCTCTCCCGAACTGACTAAGCAACATCCGTGGGTATCAGACTTGCTTTTCACAATCTCCCAAAAAAATACTTCCTTACTGATCTGCTGTTTTCCCTTAACCGTCATATTGTTCCTTATTCTCCTAACCATCACACGCACTTTTTCGATACTTGGTTAGACCTCTATATCTCTGACTCTCATTAAAATCATTAAAATCCTTTTCTCTTCTCAACATTCAGTTCCATTTCTTTCATCACATGACCTGATCCAAATTGCATACGAACTACCCGTGAAATCCTACACTCCCAAAACAGTTTCATACCGCAATTTAAACCTTCTCTCCTATGAATTCCTTCAATCAGACCTTAATTCTCTCCAATGAGACTCCATATATTCCTATAAATCCATTGATCCTGTGGTATTTACCCTGACCTCACACCTAAAAACCATATTAGACATCCATGCTCCTCTGAAAACCAAAACCTTACGCTGTCCCACTGCTCCTTGGCTTACCAATGAGATAAAGGAAATGATGAGGGGACACCAATGGAACACCAAAACCTTACTATCCTCATCCTTATAGATTCTTTTCCAAAGCGTTTGACACAGTTGACTATAACATCCTCCTCACTAAATTGCATAATCTTCCTCTATCCAACAGTGCCCGGCGTTGGTTCAAATCCTTCCTTTCAAATCGGTCCCAGTATGTAGTAGTCCAGGGCAACCTTTGTCTAAGACCCTTCCCCTCTCCTGTGGTGTCCCTCAAGGTTCCTCCCTATCTCCTACTCTGTTTGCTATTTACATTAATGTCTTTCCCCTCATGATCCATCACTCCCAATAGCATATCTATGGAAATGATTTCCAAATATACCTGTCCTTCCTGCCCTATTATCAGCCACAGAAAAACTTCAAGAAGACTTGAATAGAATTTGTGACTGGACGAGAGCTAACAAGTTGAGATTGAATGCGGAAAAGACAAAAGCAATCTTAATAGACTTCAATCACCTCCTTAAAACTGTTCCTAATATTCCAACTCTGTTCCTACATGATAATCCCATCAAATTTTACCCCACCATCATAAACCTTGGAATAAACTTCGATCAAACGCTTTCCTTGAAAAACCATGTATCCAATATTTCCCACCGTACCATTTCCACTCTAAAACTTCCACATTATTCTCGTCACCTATTTCCATTTAAAACCGTAGACTTCTAGTTACTTCCTTAATTTTTCTCCACTTTGACTATTGCTGTTCGGTATATGGGGACGTCTCTGTGGATCTCGAGGCAAAACTAAAACGTTTGCTAATTGCTTTGTACGATTCATCTTCGGAATAACAAGGGACTCCCCTGTTTCCCATTTTTATGTAGAGTTGAAGTGCCTTTACCCTTCCTACCGTCGTAAATACATCCTTCCTCTTTTAAGTCATCCAATCCCACCGTCCTTCATACATCTCCGATCTCTTTCAATTTAAATCCTTTGTTCGTTCCCGCAATACTCGTTCCCGGTCTCCTGATTTCCTCTTTTAAGTCATCCAATCCCACCGTCCTCCATACATCTCCGATCTCTTTCAATTTAAATCCTCTGTTCGTTCCCGCAATACTCGTTCCCGGTCTCCTGATTTATACATAAGGGCCCACCGAACCGCTGATTTCCATAGATCGTTCATTATCCGATCTTCATCCCTTTGGAAGTCCACCCCTTCTTACATTTATCAATCTAATACCCTCTCTACCTTTAAAACCCGTCTGTTCCATCATTTCATATCCATCCAGTCTCCATGAAATTGCAAATAGATACTAATGTAATTATGTATATAAATTATTGGTTCGTTCATCATTATTTTTACTTCATCGTTTTTTCATTTTTTTATTATTAGCTGATTAAAATTAGAAAGTAACTTATAATTTTTTATTTTTTACTATGACTGTTTAAGTACTCTGTATTTTTATTTATGTATCTCTGAGACTCCTTAGCCCATATTTATGTCTTTCTGTATTATTCTAAAAGCACTTGTCCCAGAATAAATAAGGTATTATAACTAATTAAAAAAAATAAATAAAAAATAAAATAAAAAAGAACTACCACATAACAGTAAACTTGTTTAGAAGAACCATATAGAGAAATTAGTTGAGCAAGGAATGAAGGTTGGTTAAGTTCAATAAAAAAGACCGGCAAGAATTAAATGGAGCCTACTCGGAGATTCAAATGCTCTGGAGAACATTTCACAGGGAACCAGCAGTGTCCTTCCATCCAGAGCTTGGAACAAGAACGGAAGGAGAGGTTATCTATCTTATGAGAGTATCAGATGACTTGGTTTGAAGTGCTGTGAAATGCATGAAACATCTGCATTAAAATCATTAGTGGTCAAAGTTTAAAAACTATTAGTGGATTGACAGTTATAACCTATAGATAATCACTTCAAAAACAACATGTCATCCTTAATCAAGCACATCCGATAATGTCAGGAGGATTATAACTCCTCCCTAGGGTTCAGAGTTACCGACCATGTCATAAAAAATATGGATTTTGAAGGAAAAAAAAAATTGCTACATTACATCTTAAAAGACAGACTTCTTCACTGCACTTCAGAGTTACTAGGTAGGAAAACTGAGAAATAAAAAACCCACTGACACCTACATCGAATCTGAATCGACAAGTAGTGTTCGAGATATAAAGGGGACCCTACACAGTCAATCGGAATTGCACTAATGACGTTCCGAATTGTCGTGTAAGGTAGTGAATGAAGTACTGATGGTGGTGCGCTGCGGATTTCCGAACATCCGGAAATCAAAGGTTCATTCACGAGAAGTGGAGGGGGGGCTGAGGTAAAAGTAGTGGGGAGACTAACCATACTGCTGGATAGGTTAGGTTACCTAGGCCTCACAACCATTATAAATTTCTGATTTTCATTATATGTAAATAGTTAAAACAATTTTTCATATCCCTTGTTTATAATTTTAAACCACCTTCAACTTTTTCTTTTAAATAGTCAAGTGGGCAACAAATTAAAAAAAAAATGAGGAAACTTCACAATTTACTTTAGGAAAAAAAAACTTTATCGTTGTGTATATTTATCAGTTCTTTTCCCATTTTCCTCAACAAATTTATTATTTTCGCAATACCTTTCCTTAATTTTTGTAAGTAGTAGACTTATATTTTACTAACTTTTGTCATAACGATTTTCTATGAGCCTAACCTTACTACTAGATAGGTTAGTTTACCTAGGTCTCGTTATTAAGTAAATAATTTCATAAAAGTAAATAGTTGTTTATATCCCTAGTCTATATTATTATTAACCATTTTCAACTATTTTTTCTTTAAATAGTCAAGTAGGCAATAAATTGGAGAGAAAAAAAAGTGGAAACTTCACATAAGTAATGATCAGTAATGATTGAACGTGTAAGGGTCTTCCTGATCAAAGCGATAGCGGGCAATCTTGGAAGTTCTTGTGACGTTCATTCATGAATTACCGTGTAGGGTCTGCTTTACAAAAACTAGCAAAATCAATATCAATATCACTATCAATAACTGCAAGTAGAGCTTACCCATCACTCTCAAGAGCATATCCATCAATAAGTTTCGTTATCAATGCAATTCTCTCTTGATGAAACCTTCTGTAGGATGCACTGAGCTGTATTTGATTGTGTCGATTCACGAATGGACAAATTGGTAGGAAAAAGAGAGTTATGGACTCGTCCAAAGAACAATTTCATTAACTTTTCTGGTTTATTCTGGCAAAACGATAAAGTTAATGAGTATACACAAGCTCCATTCCTTATCTAAATCGTTAACAAACTTTCGAAACACACGTTTGTACCGAATATATTATTTTCTGGTTAAGTTCTCAAAGATTCACAAATCTTTCATTGAGCGGATTGTAACTCGTTAAAACTACTCAAACAACGATTTAAAAACTATTAATTTCAACTAATTTTTTTAACTAAACGGGAACTAAAATTGTTCTTAACTTAAGATTGCTTATTGTTGCGCTACTATTTAAATTTGAATTTTCAGTTTACACTTAATTTTTCCGAAATTGAAAATTGCATGTGTGCAGATAGCCTTAGCAACTAATTAAGTGTCACTAATTAAGTACTCCGTGAACTCTCGTTTTATCCATATTATTCATTTTTCATAAAAATAACTGATAAATTATAAATGAGTTTAATGGTATTAATTAATCTTATACAGCCAGTTTTTTTTATTTAAAAAAAAACAGGTTACTTCACCAATTAAACAATTATAACCTACTACAAACAATGAATTAGTTAAAAATATAATCTTTTTCACCTCATTTATTTATAATTAATACAATCAGTGTTAAGAGAAATATATAAGAGTGCAACTAGCTCAAACAAAACATGGTGGCAGAAGGAGGAGATTAATTTATTGAATTTAATTTCTTTCAAATATTTTTAACCCCCCTCTTGGTTTTAATTAACCTTGAATGAAGCTTAACTACGATTTGATGAAACAAATTGTAATAAAAAGTGAACTTTATTTTTTAATATTTATACATAATAATAAAGAAAGAAAACAAATTAAATCAATCTTACAATTACAATAAAATAAAATAATAACTTCTATAAATGAAAATAATGATAAGCTTAATATGATGATAATAACAACAATTAAGAAATATTTAATAAAAGAAAATGATGTTTGCTTACGTAAACTAAATAGAGAAACAATATGACTGGCCCAATATTAAAATTAATAATAGAGACTAATAAACAAATACTAATAGCCCAAAAAAATACAATTTATACAAGACTAACATTTTATCTCTTAAAGCATTAGTAAAAGATGTAACTGAATATTTATGAGCAGAGTTTAATTTCTCACTTTACCTACTGTATCTACAAAGTATAATGGAGAGCAATAGCCTGAAATAGGCATTAGTGGAGAAGGCTGATTCAGGCGGGCAAAGATCTACATGTTCTGCAAAACCAACAAAAACCCTGTAAAATATCTACCAAAATTATGTAACTCAGGTATTAAAGGTAAAGAAGTAGTGGATACTGTGGCAAAAAAAAAAAGGAATCAAGCAAGGAGTTCCAGTAGGGGATGCTTTTACAGATGAAAAAGTAGCTTTGTTAAAGAGAAATGCTCTTGAGGAATAGCAGTGTCTCATTTACGTTTTAAGAGGTGATGAGTTGGGAGAATTCAATCTCTCTGTAGTTCCAAATAGAGCGGAACTCCAGTTGAACAGAAGATAAGAGATCATCCTTGCAAGACTACAAATCGGACACTCAAGACTAACACATCAACACCTAATGACAACGGCGACACTCCCTCACTGCCTTTCAAGTTGGATAAATTTAATAGTGATGCATAACTAGACTAAGTGTTAAGCCTATGAAGTACATCGGAATGAAATGGAGTTGGAAAATAATAATGGTGAAATTTTGAAAAACAACGCAAACACTTTTTTTTAAATTTCTTTAAAAAACAACTATAACAATATTTTTTTTAATTTTAATGTTTTCTACCTTCATGTTAACTAGTAAATTTTATATTGAATAAGAGCTAAAATGACTCTTAAGTGGTTGGAAATCCCCCATTGCTAGAAATAAATAAATCTTTTTATTATATAAAAAAGTTTTTGTCGTGACATAGTAATATTTTATTTTACATATACAAAGCAGGACAAACCGTAACGAAGACACCACACTTCTTATTCCCAGTATTATTTCTTCCTTATTACTATTACAAATTGGCAGTAAGGGTAATTATAATTGTATGGTAATATAAATTGGCAATATGTTAAATAAATTATAAGGTTGTCCGAACTGTTGTTTAGAATATTGTTAGAATGTAGTTAAACAATTTGAGCAATATGTAGTACAATTAAATGAACAGCTGTATAATTTGTAAAATGGGGATTGGTCCACTATTAGGCAGACATGAGGTACCCCCTAGTAAATAAATTAAATAAATAAAAATATAATATTTCACCATTCTAGTCCCTGTTTTTTTCTCTAGTTATAACTTATAAAATAAGAAGTTTTAAAACTATGTAATATTTAATTTATTAAAAATAATTAATAGTAGATAATTTTTATTTTAGAGAAAAAGTTACAGATTTTTTATTAAAATTAGTTGATATAGTTTTTTTATTATTTTTTGTCATGAGATACACCAACTCAGAACCATGGAAACATCACTTAGTATTCTTCTTTTCTTTTCCTTCACACTTCCATTATACTCTTGGAGTGTTGTGTCTTCTTCTACTCTTACCACTTCTTCCTCCACTCTTCCTTTTCTATCTTCTAAAAGGACCCTCATTATGTAAACACATTTCTTGAATTCAACCCTATCCAAAGAATCATCACTTGTTATCCACACTCTTCATCCTTAATCTTGTACTAGATACTCCTTTGTATTCTTGAGGTTTGCACTTTATCAAAAATTTGTTTATTTAGTGTACTTTCAACTATCCTGTTCATATGTATAAAATTTCAGTCTTATTTTTCTAATCAATGTCTCTATGCCCCTTGTTATAATGTGATGTTTATAATTGTGTTTTCTTTCTGTTTTTTAAAAGAGATATTTATTGGAAAATGAGAAAAGTTACCTTTTCTCAAAATCCAAGTTTTTAAGGGAATATGCTAGAAGATATGTTGGGTTACTTCTTAATATTGATAGGTAACACAATACTTCAGAATTCTTAGAGAATAACAAACATCTAAAATAATTGAATCGCTAAGGGGTTCAAATAAATAATAAATAATAATGAAGAAATCAAATGAATGTAAATAAGAATATTGAATTTTGTTTTATTGACAGTCGTAGAAGACTAAAAGTCAGTAACTTTCATTACTTGCCGATATTCAAAATGTTGACTAATATCAAGCTAAAATATTATTTCTGAAAATACTTTGAGACATTTTAAAGACGTTTTGTCAAAGTTAATGATTTATGAATCTGTATTTGTTGCTTTTTCTTTTTTTTTCAAATGAGCATTAGTGATCACCGACCATTATATTTGTAATAAATGATATAATAAATAAATTATATAAACAAATATAAACATGACACTATTTATTATAGTATCCTGGGGATACTTTATTTCAAAACTACAGTTTAGAATTATTTTTCTAAAATTTCCAAATATAAGAAATAATTATCTATTGTATTTAAGACCCATTCAAGACCGATTTAAAATTATAATGGTCTTCAAGCCAAAAAAAACATGTTTTTCCTTGCTAGATATTTGTTATAGTCTGCTAAAAAAATTATGATATTCAGTTAAATAAGCAAAATAACATTAAGACTTTTTTTTAAATTTCAGTAATGCTCATTAAAACTATTTTAATTTTCTTGGGAACAATATATGGTACAAAAAACTTAATATTAATTAATAAAAAAAATGGAAAATTATGACAAGATTTGTTTTATGACACATTATCCTATTTTTAAATTATTGGTAAACATAGCAAGGATGGTCTTGCAGATAAATACCTTTCCAAAAAAGTTTCATTCCACTTCCATTTTAAAATAAAATTCTAAAAGAATAAACATATTTACCTAACTTGACATGAAAAAAAAAGAAAATAAACTTATAATATTTGTCAGAAATACAATGTCTATTATATAAAAAGTTAAATGATAACTTACGCCCAAAATGACTTTTTTTCTGAGTGAGAAATTTTGAAATTTCTAATTTTGTCCACTAACCTAAAAGACAATATAAATGGTTATTAGACTCATAACATATGATTGAGACTATTATAAAAGGTTATTTATTAAAATTTTGTTTGAAAATTTGAACATTAGCAAATGAGTCATTTGAATCATTGGTTTAAGTTTAAATTTTACTTAATATTGGGAATGGTTTTAAATTTTACAGATAAAGAAAAAATGATTAAAACAGATCTGATCAATATAACAAAACTGCAATATTCAAGAATTGTGTTGAAGAAAAGTTTTTTTCTTGTTCTAACATCTTTAGTCACTTCTGTATGAGTAAATAAATTCATAAAAGGATTAATATTGTGATATGTTTTGGGAAAATGAGTCAGATAAGGTAATGAAATACATACCATAAAAATTATTATTACGTATGTTTACCAAGTTTTATTTTTGTCATAAAAATCTGTCACAAATGTTATGTCAGAAGAGTTACCTTGATTTGAAGAGATTTGATGAGAATCCTTGTTCTGTTTGGTTGATAAAAGTTGCCATTTTGTCTTAACATAATACCAGATGTGTATTTTTGGGCTGGTATTCAGGGACAGGTACAGAAATGCTTGTTAAAGACTTTAAGGATATCTGGAGATCAAAATTATTATTCAATATTGAACAGTAGTTTTTAAATATATTAAACCTAACTTAATTTTATTAATTATAATAACTTGACTTACTTTTAAATAGTTATAATTAACTTTTTTTTTTTAACTCCAAAATCAAATCAAATTATAAGAACTTATCCTCATCCTCAATCTCCACCTCCTCCTCATCGCCTACCCTTAAATGTCAAACTCCACCCAGTGCGACCACAGCCAGTTCCATCCGTTCCTAATCTGAAGACCCCTTATCCACAGAATTTAGACCCAACTCACATCGTGCACACCTCCCTTTCAACATTCCTAGTCGCATGAAGCATCCACCGTAACCTCATGATCCAAATCCAATTCACACCCACAAACCAACCGACATCAATTCGATTTTAACATCCTTTCTGATAAATCTCCAAAATACTATCAAACCGCTCATCACCCTTCTCAATAGACTCCTTTCCGAAATCCCATTCAACTTTCCTCGATGAACACAAAGCTCCTAGCTATCCTCTTATGGAACTCTAATGGACTACAAAACCACCGTGACGAACTAGACATATTTATTCTTGACAATCATATTGACATTGTCCACCTGACGGAAACTCACTTCACTCAAGGGTCAAACCTTTTTATTTGTGACTACATTACTTACAGATCAGACCACCCAGACAACACTTTCCATGCCGGCTCTTGCATTCTTATTCATAAATCCTTACCCCATTCTCTAATTTCTTCCACTCACACTATTCAATTAACTTCGGTAATCTTTTCAACTCGCTCTTTTCACCTCTCATAATCAGCTGTATACTGTCCTCCTGGTAATTCCCTCTCGTATAACGTTCTTGATTTGTTATTGCAATTCCTCGGATCGCGGTTTATTGCTGGAGGAGACTACAATGCACAACTCCAACGATGGGGTTGTCAAACATCCAACTTGTTGTCTACCCAACAATTGCATCCCAAATCCTTCAATCCCACTTCACAAACCTTGAAGAATAGTGTCAAAACTGGAGAATTAAAATAAATTCCATTACAAATTACCTTATCCCTACTGAAGAAATCCGATACGTAGGATTCCACCTGGACAAACGTTTAACTTGGAATCTTCATACCAGACTGAAACGAAAAGGAATCCGCTCGTCGTTTTCCAACTACTCCAACACTTACTATACAAACGCTCTAAGATTTCAGTTAATTACAAAAGACTCATATACATGACCATAATAAGACCCATTTGGACATACGGAGTTGAGTTTTGGAGCTCCACAAAACCATCGAATTCCTCTTGTATCCAATCTTTACAATCAAAAATCCTTTGTAAAATCCTTAATGCTCCTTACTTTGTAACAAATAAAATAATCCATAATGACCTTAATGTTCCATATGTTTCCGATTTGGCCCAATCCAGATACCTATCCTTCCATAATAAACTTCAGAACCATCCTAATTCTCTTGTTTCTAACCTTGTTCCTCCTCGATTCCTGATAATCCTCCGAGGCGTCTGAAAAGAAGATGGCCTCGTGATCTTCTAATTTAGAAACTTTATTAGAGTGCTACCAATGGGTAGATTCTCTACAAGCCTTGTCATGTCATGTATTTATCTGTATCACATTTGCTGAAAGTATATGAATTGTACAGTTGTTAATTTCATTAATAATAATAAAAAAAAATTATAAGAATGTGTGCCAGTTCTCTATTGGATTAAGATATAATTGAAGAGGTTACAATAATAGTGGAGTAAATAAATTTATTTTTTTTTTCTTTTTTCAGAAAAGTGAATGTTTAGGGAATGTAGTTCAATGATATGTGTAGTTTATCTGGTCACTTTATTATAAAAAAAGTCATTTTTTTTATATAGCTAATTTTTTTAGTACGTTTTACTTAGTTTCGCTCTTATTTATCAAATTAAAAACACACCGAGTGCATGAAAAAGAAACAAACCCTTTATATATAAACAATAATTTAAAAAAATGGGATATGTTCTGATTCCACAAAGAGAAATTCATGAACCAAGGTAGAACTTAGTGGTTTAATTTTACAAAATGAAAATTATTGACTTTTTGCTTCAAATCTCCTCTATGTTATACATACTTAAAGCATATTCACTTTCTGGACAGACAGTAAAACTGACTTACTCTCCTTTTTTTGCGCTATCATTGTGACTCTCTCAATTAAGGAAAAGGTTTTATTTGAATTTCTTTTTTTTTCTTTTAAACTTATTTATTCAGAATTATTACAATCTGTCACAATTAAGAAAATTTATAATAGTTTTCAGATAGTACATTCACACCCTAATTTGAAAATTAATGGTAAATGTTTAATTTAAAAAAAAGTTTTAATCAATTTCAAAAAAGGTTACTATGTTTAACTTATCTGAAAAACAGTTCAAATAGACTATAGAATTCTCTAGTAATGATTAGAATAAAAATAGTTGCAAACAGAAATTATAAAACAATGATATTATGTGATTTAAATAAAAAGATAAAAACTATTTTCAATCTGAAATATCTTCTTCTTTCAGTGTGGGCAATTGTATGTAGGTTGAGTTCCTTTTCTTGATTTTCCTCACAATGGATTCATGTTTTGTTGTTTCAATGGAGTGTAATTCTTCAGTAGTCTCTTTAAATTTCTCCTTTTCTAATTCATTATATAGCCTCGGCTGAGTTGGCAAATATCTATTCTGGACGTGGAGGTGATGGTAGCCAACAGCAAGCTCAAAAATGAGCCTCGCTGTCCTCAAGTTCTTCATTTGAAAAACATATTCTTGGACAGTTTCTAATACAAGGCGTACGATAAATTTCTTACAAGAATAGTGAACCATTTTAATGAAGACCCATTTCAAAATAGTCTTAGGAAACAACAGTGTCTCTTGGTATATGTTGATACCTTTGGGATGGATTCCAACCCAGACCATTTCACCTCCATTTTTAGCTTTGAAATAACTTACACCATACATCCCCAAGTACTGGGCAATCTTGAGGTATTCAATTTGCGCTTCGATTGGTGTCAGTCCTTCGTGATCTTTGTGCCAATCTTTGAGGCTGTCCCCCCAGGCGATAGGAGACATCGTGTATTGTGATAGGACATTACCAGGGATCATGGACCCTGGATCTATAGAGTAATAATCAACGATTGGCCAATCTCCCTCCTCTGCTTGAAGTACATAAGAGGCGAGAAGAATGCTAGTTTCAGGAGGGCAGAATATCGTGCCTGCTACTATTTCTTTTTTGCATTGATTGTATATTAGTGAAATCGCCACATTATCACTTAGTTTTCCGATCTCTTCTGGAAAATATTTTACTAGAAAGAACAAAGGGGTTGTGCCATCATTTCCGATGACCTGATATACTTTTTTTCCTGGTCGCAACCACCCTACACGTTTCTTCTTCCCTTCATACTGTAGACCGAAATATTCAAACTTTTCGATTCCAAGGCGACAACAAACTTGCGTAAATAATTCTTTTCCAGTTGTCTTAGTATTTACTGATAGGCTCAACTGCCCAGTTATATAATGAATGTTAACTAGGAAACTGCAAGAAGAATTTTTCTTCAGAGATTTCATTGTTCTTGAACATTACTCCTGAAAGAAAAAAAAAAGTTAAAAAATGTATTCCTTGATTTTAAATATTTTTTTAATTGAAAACTCTTACAATGGAAGAAATATACATATATGTACCATGTCCTCTTCAGAAGTAATTAACCATTTTTGATACAATGTTGGGTACAAACACTTGTTAGAGGAACCAACAGGTAAACAAATTGTGTAGATCAGGGGTCTACCAACTATGGCCTGTGATAACACTAATCTGGCCTACCACAGTTTTTTATTCTAATGCAAAATTTACAATGCTAGTAAGCCATTCAAAATTATAATCAGATGTTTAAATTAAAGACCCATGATGTAACACAATAGGTGGCATATAAAATGATTGTTAGCGATATTTTTGTAGGATGAACAGGGTATTGGTTTTTTTGGATTAAAGTTTGAGACTCAGGATAAAAGAATTTTCTTTTTTTTTTTAATGGTATTGGATAAATCCATACAGCCAGACAAAAAGTTTGGACACCTCTGGAATAGATTGTATTGACTAGTTTGTATTAAAGGGATTCAAATCTTGAAAACTTTTTCTTTATTTTATCAGTGACATAAACTAATTTGAGATTGAGTCATTATTGCCAGAAGGTCTCAATAATGAGTATTTACTCGTCATTTTAAATAGATTTAAATAGACCCGTTCCTCATTATTTTAAATAGTATTAAACTATTTTGTCTACCAAAATAAATTAAGTGAAAATAAAATTGTTTTATAAGTACATATTTTGTTTAAGTGGCTTTTTATTATTTCATTACATTTATTTTTGTCTGTTTCATAGGTACAATAAATGTATACAATATATATGTTGTAAAATAAAAATATTTATTCAAACTGGTTTGTTATTATTACGTTTGTTTTCGTCTATATAATATATATATGTTGTAAAATAAAAGTATTTTTTTATTATTACATTTGTTTTTGTTTACAATTTCAATAATATGAATATAATACAATAAATATGAATACGAAGAGATGAATTATCAGTGCTTATCAGAATTATCAATGTTCAGTTTATAAGCATTAGCAGATAGCAGTCGTTCCTGCCCAGCTATTTAAGAAGTACCGTTTTATATTTCAACACTGCAATCAACTATTCTAGTATCAACTTATTCACTTTCTGTTCAGATATTATACATTTCCAATTTATTTCAATTACATTCAAAAATGTTTAAATTGGAGTTAGTCATTCTGTCAACTGAAAGATCCAACTACATCTAGACAGGGGTACCCATCCCCCCTAGGTCGATGGCGCATGAACCTTTCCCCTCCCCTCTCCAAGGTATTTTATTGTTCTCCTCTTCTTAAAAACATTAGAAATAAAAGTTCCGTAAATCAGATACAATTACACTTGATGAGATTTGTTCCATGTATTCCTTTTGTCTTGTTGTTTGAAACTTTTCAATCCGAAAATTCATAAATCCGTCGAAATGTACACCCTCAAAAATTGTGATAGCGCAACTTACGCCATGAAACCCCCTTCTGGGCACTCCAGCATACAGACCACAACGATAATCAGGTCTACCGGGAGATACGGAGCTTTGGACCTTTAACAATTCCTCTTCCAAACCTTACCATAATTCTTATTGCTCTATTTTATGGCATAAATAAGACTATCTTTAATGAACTCGAAGTCCTATAAGCTAGTTCGGCACGGAATCGATGTAGTTACTCGATTTTTTAATCGATTTTCGATATTGCTCTTAAACGGTTGAGAGCCCCCGAGACTTGTTAACATCGAACTGTCCTTCGAGGTTTCCCTAAAAGTCATTGTCATGTCATAACAATTACTCATCCAAGAACGTTTCAGAAGGGGGGGGGGTGTAAATGTTTAATGGAGGGACGATCATTTTGAGGATAGGGGAATTAGTCTTTAATTAGGTTTCTTTTAGAATTTAGAATACTTACTTGTCGCTGTTTTATAATATGTATAAAAAAGTTTCAGAGATTCCTTTAATATATATATATATATATATATATATATATATATATATATATATATATATATATATATATATATATATATATATATATATATTGCTATTTGTTGTTTTTTTTATAAATATTTATTTTACTGAATGAGATTTTTCTTAAGGTAATGGATCACGGCAATAGATTTCTAAAGCCTTAATTCTCCCCATATTCTAAAGGTTTAATCTAAATCGTTTTGCTGGATTTTGAGTTATAGTTGGCATAAAAACAGGCAGATATATTTTATGTTTGATTAGTTCTGCTAGAATTTGGTTGCTAAATAATAAATATATGTGCAGATATGCATCTCTAAATGTATGTGTATATGTATATATATATATACATACAGTATGTTTTTTTCGTATTTGATTTTCTGTATAATAATTTTATTATTAAAACTAGTAGCGAAATTAGAATTTAATTTTTAGGAATGTTAATATTTTTTTTAAATTTCAATAACACGGTAATTACAAGAACAATACATTTAGGGATAATTTTTTTAATATATTTTCTTGACGCTTCCTTTTTTTCCCTAGCTGCTTCATGTGAACATTATAAATACGTACGTTATAAACACAGGCGGGTCTACGGGAGAGGGCTTTCGAGCTAAAGCTCTCCCCTTCCAAAACGGTAAAGTATAACCATGTTTTATAGAAAAAAATATTAAAAACTATCTCTTAAGGTATTATTGTTCTTGTAATTACATTGAATAGGACTACAAGAATCACTTAAACACTATTTCATACAGGAAGTTAATTTAATTTTTTTCAAATTAATTATCGTTATATATTTGAAAAAAAAATCTTTCGGGTTGAAGCCCCCCAAAATTAAATCCTTAATCCGCTAGTGGTTATTATTTAAAACGAGAAAAATGAGGTAAGCAATATAGCTCAGATTACCAATACACATAGAAACAAATGCGAACATTTGGTTGCTGTTTGGAAAGGTTGCATACATTACAATCCAATAAATTGTTATTTTTACATCAGTTTTTAAATGATTAATACCAATCTATTATGATTGTTGCATCTAACTCTGTGTATGGGACACCTCCCGAAGAAAAATAAAATTATCCATTCATTCAAATAAATAAATAAACCAATGAAATTATTTTTCTTTATTAATTATTATTATCATTTTTCGCAATAATAACTTCCAATTAAACAACGATTGATTTATTTGTTGTATTTTCAAGTCACATGTTTACATATTAACGTTTCGGGATATTTTCTCCCATCTTCAGGACTGCCAATCCCAATGTTTTTTTGTCGATTCATGTCTAAAAATAAGTTAAATATAATACATATTACAATACATAACAGAATTGAGTTGTTACATTAAATTTTGACAAACGCTCTAAGCTTTCAATCAATAACAAACGACTCATATATGGCAATAATAAGACCTATTTGGAGTTACGGAATTGAGCTTTGGGGCTCCACTTAACCATCGAATTCCTCTCGTATCCAATCCTTACAATCCAAAATCCTTTGTAAAATCCTCTACGTTCCTTACTTTGTCGCAAATAAAATCATCCATAAAGACCTTAATATTCCATATCTTTCCGATTTGGCCCGATCCAGATACCTATCTTTCCATTACAAACATCTGAACCCTCTCGTTTCAAACCTTGCTTCCTCCCCGATCTTGATAACCCCCCGAGGCGTCTGAAAAGAAGATGGCCTCGTGATCTTCTTGTGTAAATTTATTATTTGAGTGCTATCAGTGAGTAGTTTTTCAAGAAGCGATTTAATATTATTATATTCTTGAGTGCACATTTACTAGTTGTATTTTTTTATAATACACTTGTAAATATCAACGAATACAAAAAAAAACCATTAAATTTGTAATTACCATAAGTCTAATGTGCTCCATTGTCAGGTTCTAAATTCATGTTATAACAAATTAAAGTATATAATATCCAGAGCATCATCATTCCTTTAGACCAATTATTGGGTATCTGCCATAGTGAATACAATTGAGCTTTGGTTATGACTATTTTAACTGAAGAGAAGAATAGTTGGGGTGGTCAGTCAAAAAATAAGGCAAAAATAAATTAAATAAATATATAAAAATAAATATTCTTTCTTATTTCAGCTTTCTCAGTTTCTTCCCTCCTTCCTTTCACTCCTTTTCTCTGTTTTTAACTCTTTATTATATTATACATTGTCTGTACATCTTGATAGACTTTACAATATCTCAATTTTCTATCTAACTACTCCATTCTCAATGTCTAAATTTTACTATTTATTTTCATTTCTTATATAACTTCATATTTCTTTTTTATGTTTTACATTTTATTCTAAGATTCCCATTTTAACACTTATGTCACCCTTTTTGATTATGCTTACTTCATCATTCCACACTTTGTAACGGTTATTATTATTTATCTCTTAGTTCTTACTATTGTCATTATTCTAACAATTTCATTTTACTTTACTTTTATTATATTTTTTTCTTTATTTTATTATTTTTTTTTTACCATCACTACTTTTGTTTCTCATACCTTGTTATCTGGTTATTTTCTTAGCCCTCATGAAGGCCTGAACTTCAGGTCGAAACGTTGGCATATGTAAAAATAAATATTATCATTTATTTTTGCCTTCTTTTTTGACTGACCACCCCAACTATTCTTCTCATCATTATCCACGACAGTCAACCAATTACCAATTATGACTATTTTAACTATTGTTGTTAAATGTTTATTTTTTATGTAGCTACAGTTTCATTTTTAATAAATTTTAATTTTGTTTAATATGTCAGCATAATGTGTCCCTAAATGTTCGGTGTCTGTTTTATAATTTACTGTCGTTCTATTGTTTTTTGTGATGTGTATGGCTTACAGTAATTTTCTATTTTTCTCTTTTTTGGGGGGAGGGGAAGGAAGGAGGGAAGGAAAATGGGAGACTAAAACTCAAAAATCTCCTCTCCCTCATGAATCCACGAGTGATTAGAATTCATTAGACAAATGAAGTAAACATTTTGAAAGCAAAAATTAATCAAAACTTTATCTCAATTTTAACATTTCGTTTCTAGTCGAATTCGATTATTCCACTTAGATTTTTTAATCCTTTAATCCTTTGTTTTTAATCCTTGCTGATTTCTGAAATCTCTAAGTTAAGAAATTTTAAAACCTCTCTGCGCATCCCCCAGAGAGCCGCACGCGGCCACAAAGTCTGCTTACCGCTTCATTCGTTCAAGGCTATTATTATTAGAATTTTTTTTTTCTATTCTAAAATTAATAAAGAAATCTCGGAAGATGCGAACTCACATGCTATGCTCGGATCCTCAACCTTGCAGCGGGACAAGCTCCACCAGACTACTAGGTCGCAACCTGCGCCAACAGACCCAACCCACAGCCGAGGTCGTCCTATTCACATTGTAATGGCTCTTCTGTTGTGCAACTATCATATCCCCCCAATACTCACAATTTCCTCTAGCAATCCTCTAGGCCAATCAACGGAATTTCGAAAGGGGGACCCGATGAACTTGTAAAGAAATATCTGGTGTGTCCACTCACACGACTTTCCTGCCTATTTCAGAAAAGTTTTTACATCTTTACATATGTTCATGAAGAAACAAAAAAGAATTGAACTAGATTTATTTTCCTAAAAATTGATCAAAGAAAATATTTGAGTACGATTTATTTGATAAACTAAAGCAATGTAAACCGGCTTAAGGTAGATCAGTGTAAAAAATTCAATATAAAAACCGCATATCGGAAATTTGACCCGATTGCAATACTTTCTTTACCTAGTATAGGTAGGAAAGTAATAAGTTAAAAAATAGAATAAGCTGTATCATCGCTAATACTGGTTCGATTCCGATGATTTTTTTTTTTGTTTTTGTTTTGTTGATAATTTAATTACCTTTCAAAAGTTTTATTATAAATTTTACCGTATAATATGTACTTAGGGAGTTAGGACCCATAACATTTTTCTTTTCTTTATAACTCTTTTTCCTGAATTTTTTTCGGAAATTTAGTCTATATACAAAAATTGAAAGGACAATGATTACAACATTATAGTTAAGTTTCATCAAAATCGTTTGAGCCGTTTTCGCGCTACAGTCTATAGAAAAACTTGTTTTTTATTTATTGCGCGCAAGCTATTGAGCATGGAGCTCCGAATTTCAGTCACAGGCATCAGTAGTCAAAACCTTACAAAATAAAAAAAGAAGCAACAAAATCGGTTCAGTAGTTCCCGAGAAAATCTTGACACAGACAGACAGGCCAATGGCTAAAAATGTGTTTTTCGGACCAGGGGGCTCTGAAACGTATAGTTCCGTCAAAAACCGCATATCGGAAATTTGACCCGATTGAAATAATTTCCTTACCTAGTATAGGTAGGAAAGTAAAAATGTAAAACGTTATCGACAAAATGGTACTCCCATGATTACTTATTTTCCAAATTGGAAATACCACTAGATGATTATTGAGAAATATTAGACAGCGGACACAGACTATTTTTTATTAAATTATTAACATTCGTTTAACATCGTAGAATGGCTTTATCTTGTCGTGACCTACAACGTTTTGAAGTGAAAATTGAATTAGATGGATCCGTCAGATTTCTGAAGTGTTAACGTTGGGGTGAAGTTGGCTATGAGCCGACAAATTAAAATGTTTTTATATATGAATTAAAATATCTTAGAAACTAAAAATCGGGCCTGCATACTGTAAGCGACGAAATTGTTCAGCATTCCATCCTCTCTGTAATAAGCTATAATTCAAAATTGTATCTTAACGCGACGCCGCGTTTGGGAGGCGAAAAGGAAAAATAGCCTCGAAAACAAAATAATAATGATTTTCGTTAAACATATGGATTAAATTATTTCAGGTACTAAGAATCGGACCTGTATACTGTAAGCGAGAGATATGTTCAGCATTTCATCTTTTTTGTAAAGAGATATTATTCAAAATTGTATCTTAATGCGACGCTGTGTTAGAAAGGAGAAAAAGAAAAAATAGTGACGAAAACCAAATGATAACTAGTTTTATTAAAGATATGAATTAAAATATTTCAGAAATTAAAAATTAGACCTGCATACTGTAAGCGAGGGAAATGCACAGCATTTCAACCTCTTTATAATGAGCTATTATTTATAATTAATATTTCATATTAATAACCTTTTCTTGTTGAAGTTATATCTAAAGCACACACCTTAGTTTTTTTTTCATTTTTTGAAAATTCTCAGTGATTGGACGTTTTCAATCTGGATATCGGTTAACTTTTTATATTTAATAAATACTAAAAAGTCATTAACAGCCATTTGGTTTCTATTAGTATCATAACATAATTTGATCAAGAAATCAAGACAAAATATGGCCTACAAAAATATTGGACCATTATGCGTGACCTACACCTCCACACGTCGAAATAATAAGATTATATAGGTCAACTCTAATAAGACCTATTTGGACTTGCGGAGTTGGGCTCCACTAAGCCATCAAATTCCTCTCCTATCGTTACAATCCAAAATCCTTCGTAAAATCCTCAATGCTCCTTACTTTTTCACAAATGAAATAATCCATAAAGACCCTAATGTTCTATATTAGTCTGTGGCACAGACACCTTTTTATCGAATTATTAATGTCCACCTGAAACCTCGTAAATAGTTTCATTTCATCGTAACCTACAACTATTTTATTTACGAAAACTCTTGGAATTGGGGAGTTTTCAATTTGGAGAGGGGCAAACTTTGTCTATTTAATTGCGTACTAAAATCTCGTAAATACCCATTTGCTTTCTATTTGGATGGGATGAAAATTTGATCACAATATCGAGAAAAAAGGAGGCCTACAAAAATATTGAGCCATTTGACGTGACCTACTCCCCCACATTTTCAAAATAATGAGGTTATTTAGGACAAACGGTCCAATATTTTTGTATCGATTTTGTGATCAAATTATCTTACAATCAAAATAGAAATCAAATGGTTATTTACCAGTTTTTAATAAATAATTAAATAGACAAAGTTTGCACCCGTACAGATTGAAAACGCTCCAATTCCAAGAGTTTTAGTAAATAAAATAGTTGTAGGTTACGATGTGGTTGTTTCAGGCGGATGTGAATAATTCGATAAAAAGGAGTCTATATCACGAACTATGTTTCAGATTTGTCCCAATCCAGATACCCATCCTTCCATAATAAACTTCATAACCACCCCAATCCTCTTGTTTGATATTATCCTCTTGATCCGAATCGACGCTTGTTCATTTTTCATGTTATTTCTCATCTGCAATGTTATGTTTTCCGTAATGGTGTGTGTTTGTTTCATGGGTGCATAGTTATGTATAAACGGAGTTCCGCCGTAGATCTACTCGATTCCCAGCTCTGATCGCACTGATACGAATGGTAGATTATCCATGCAATCTTCTTCGCGACCCCAGCTCATGAGTGAGCATTGATCTCGAGAATGAGTCACGCTAAATCGAATCCGACACAGGACATGTCAGCTACGCTTCGCATCTCGAGCCATCATGTGTCTGGAACCACGTCACGTATTTCATGTTCACATTTCAAGATCTTGTCATAATATAAGGTGGTGGGAATAAGGTCTGTTAGTTTTAAAGTCCATAAAAGCGCTTTTGATATTGCCATCAGATTATTTCGGTATTCCTCTCTGTTAAAGCTCTTACTTCGTGGTATAGACCCCTTTTTTATCGAATTATTCACATCCGTCTGAAACTTTGTGTGGAACGCCTGAAACAATCACATCGTAACCTACAATTATTTTATTTACTAAAATCTTGGAATTGGGACGTTTTCAATCTGTACGGGTGCAAACTTTGTCTATTTAATTATTTATTAAAAACTCGTAAATAACCATTTGATTTCTATTTGGATCGTAAGATAATTTGATCACAAACTCAACATAAAAATATTGGGCCGTTTATCCTAAATAACCTCGTTATTTTGCAAATTTGGAGGACTAGATCACGTCAAACGGCTCAATATTTTTGAAGGCCACCTTTTTCCTCGATAAATTCGTGATCAAATTATCTTACGATCCAAATAGAAAGCAAATGGGTATTTACGAGATTTTAGTACGTAATTAAATAGACAAAGTTTGCCCCCCTCCAGATTGAAAACGCCCCAATTCCAAGAGTTTTCGTAAATAAAACAACCTCGTTCATCATTACATCATCAATACTACACTTTTTGATTTTCGCCTCTCTAGATTTACAATATGTGTTATCCGACATTGTTTTAATAGTTCTAGAACCGAGTGGACCTTCAGTTGAAGGGAAGAGATTATCCTAATAAATAGTGTTGCCCAAAATCGGTCTTGGTCTTGCACTTTGCAAGACCAAGACCAAAGTCGCCTAACTGTTGCAAGACCAAGACCAGGACTGGTAAAAAAATATCCATTTTTTCAATAAAAATTAAGGCAAAATAGTTACTAATACTTGACAATCTTAGTTACTATATGTTAAATATTGGTATATTTAATATACTTTTGCATTTAACTCTTATAATTTTTCATTCGGGCTTAGTTAGGTTTCTTCTATCTAAAAGATTACAGTAGTATCTCTATAATAAGTAACTGCAAGACTGTTGCGGGACCTTGCGCAAGACCAAGACCATGAACAAGACTGAGTTTGCATGACCAAGACTCGGTCTCACATTTGGGCAAAACTACTAATAAAGCTTAAAATCGAGCACTCAAAAATAATGCATGAATAATTTATGACAAAGAGGAAAATCCCTCAATGTAGTTCCTGTAGGTTCCATTTAACGGTTTTACTTAATCTGACAGAATTTTATGGCACACGGAGCTCATCAAAATGAACAAAAAATTGTTTTTATTTATCTATTCAAAAATTGAATTTTTTTTGTTTTGTAACTTTTTAATGTTTTCTACCTTTAAATTTATTATAAATTTCTCATTGAAAATTCTTTGTAGTTAAATTGTGTATGGGCTAAAATAACCGGTAAGTTGTTCAAAAGCCTGCATTGTTATAAATAAATATTATCTTAAAAATGTATTATTACTTGTTTTTTGTAGGTTACTTGGTTTCGAGTCAGGTTAAAGCATGTAATTATTTATTCTATTACATCAACCGTGCTCTAGGACCATGGGATCAGGAGACCCTTCTGTGGCACACCCAGCCTCTATAAAGTGGATAGTTTTATTAAGTAATAGACTATGGCTAAAAAAATCTGTCGGTTGAGCGTGTTCTTGACCCAATCACCTCCTTGCACAATATTTGGCCTTGAAAAAGTAAAGTTCTAAATTTAAAAATCAAGTCTTTTACATTTAAAAAACAACAGAAAATAGAGCATTTGCACTTGGCTCTAGTACTCTAGTTCAATCGGGGCATAAAGTTATTATACGCTCTGAATATAGTCCTTCCTCAGTTCAACAAGAACGACCTAAACGGATTCTCCGGGTTGGAAAATATGATA